TCCCTTCTCTTGACTATCCCTTCTCTTGACTATCCCTTCTCTTGACTATCCCTTCTCTTGACTATCCCTTCTCTTGACTATCCCTTCTCTTGACTATCCCTTCTATTTGCACTGGCTATCCCTATCCCTGTTACCGTCCCCGTCCCTTCTTTCGCTCACTTACTGACCTCGCTACTACATCCAGAATGGAGATTCTGGAAAAGCCGCGCTTCGAGGATTTCGAGATCAAGTACAAGAACCGCAACCGCTGGCAATTCCTGGGTAACGGCTTCTCGCTCCGTGACATCGACGGCAGGGATATCACATGGTTCTGGGGACTGGTGGGCAACGAAGACAGGCAGCGGAGTTTCGACGTCTAGGATGAGTTGTTGATTGGGAATTTGCACCTAAGACACAGACACACACACAGACACAGAGAGAGAGAATGTGTGTGTGTGTGTGTGTGAGAGAGAGAGAGATAAAGGGGGAGAGAGACGTAGAACTGTTTTCGTTTTCGTGACTCGGTTTATCAGAAATGCTTGTATGACAACTATATCAATATCATATCATATACTAGGACATACCTTGTAGGATATACCTTGTAGGATGTGTCTTGTAGGATATGTCTTTAGGATGTGTCTTGACAGGACCCGACCCGCGAACATTGGCTATGATTGTTTCTGGTTTCTGCTGCTATGGAAGCTTTCAAACTTACAGTAGGCGCATTCCCATTCCCAGCCTTATTTGACCAGAAGGCAGGTATAGGCATACGTACTATATAGCTTAGGCTTGGGCTCCCCCATACCCCTTTGATATGTAGGGAACATGGAACATGGAACACTACAACCTTTGACAGGGAACATGGGACATTTCAACCTTTGACAGGCCCCTGAAAAGACCAGACCAAACAGACGTTCCATTTCGCGTCTCCAAGGCGTCTCTATGGTGTCTTGAAACAGACATTCCATTCCGCGTCTCCAAGGCTTGTACTTGCTCTTACTCTACGGCTCCTCTACGCCGTCTTGAAGTTGTAGTGCAGCACCTGCATGTTGCAGAACGGCACCAGGGCGTTGGGGCCGCACTCGACGCCGATGCCGCTGTCCTTGTGGCCGCCAAACGGCACTCGGAACGAGACCTTCTCGTAGCTGTTGATGTACACACTGCCGACCTCGAGCTGCTCGGCCACCCGGCGGGCGCGGTCGAGATCCTTGGTCCAGACACTGGCGCCCAGACCCATGGCGGTATTGTTGGCACTTTCAATCACTTCCTCTTCGCTGGACCACGGAATGGCCGGCACGATTGGTCCCTGGAGACATATGTTAGTATTCCAAAGCAACAGCTATGCATGACTAGTAGAGGGCCGGAGAGACAGAAAGGAAAGACTTACAAACTGCTCCTCCGTCACCAGCGTCGAGTCCGGTGGCGGGTTGTCGATGATGGTGGGCTCCAAGAAGAAGCCCTTGGTGTCCTTGACGTCTCCGCCGAACTTGGCCGCATAACCCTTCTGCTTGGCCTCCTCAAAAAGGCCTCGGACCTTCTTGTACTGCATCTCGTTCTGCATCGGCCCCACCATGGCTCCGGCTTCCGTGCCGGCCCCGACCTTCCACTTGTTCACCGCGCGAGCCATGGCGTCGAGTAGCTGCGTGTAGATGTCTTTGTGGATGTAGATCCGCTTGACCGCCGTGCACACCTGTCCCGTGTTCCAGAAGGAGCCGAAGCAGAGATCAGGCGCGATCTTCTCCACATCGACATCCGGGAATACGATGGCCGGATCGTTTCCACCGCTGTAGACGACGGGTCAGGTCAGCAGGGTTGACACTTGTGAAGGGTAGAGGGATGAGAGAGGAGAGAGGAGAGAGGAGAGAGAAAAGAGGAAAGAGGAACGAGGAAATCACAATGGAATCGACCTACAGCTCCAGGGTCACGCGTTTGAGTCCTTTGGCCGCGGCTTCGGCCACCTTTCTTCCCGACGCCGTGGAGCCGGTGAAGGAGATCTTGTTCACCCAAGGATGATGGGTGAGCCAGGGCCCGAGTCGGTCGTCGCCGCTGAGGACTTGTAGCACGCCCGGCGGCAGGATCTTCTGGGCCAGTTCCACCACCTTCATGCCACTGTAGGGGGTGAAGGGGGATGTCTTGACGATGCAGGTGTTGCCCGCCAGCAACGCCGGCAGAGCCTTCATGACGGGCTGGCCGAGCGGAACTGGGGTTGGTCATTCCCGTCAGCGGGCCAGACACAGTGTGGCGGACATCATTGGTACAAACTCACAGTTCCAGGCGCAGATGGCCACCACAACCCCCAGAGGCGTGTATCGCACATGGTAGTCCCGGTCGTTGACCGTGTGGTCTTCCTCGGGAAACTTCAGGGTGACTCCGCTCCACTGTTAGACCAACCTGATCGTCCTCTGCACGGGCGTGGAGGGAACTCACGGAAGTAGTTGAAGGCCTCGTTGAAGGAGTGGTTGGCCTCGAATTCACCAAACGCTCTCTGCCGGCTGGTCAGTCACCACTCGACAACACAGCTTTGCATACCCTCAGGGATGGCCCTTGGCCTGGGTCTCACTCAATCCCAGGTCAAGGTCGGACTGGGCCGGGACGGAAGCATACCGGTTTCCCATTTTCCTTCATGATGACTTCGCCGAACTGCTTCAGATACGGCCGGCAAGCGTCGCCCCAGGCCTTCAACAACCGCAGTCGTTCGTCGAACGGCGTCTTCTTCCATGACTTGAAGGCGTCCTTGGCCGCCGTGACGGCGTCGTGGACATCCTGCTCCGTGGCGACGGGGATCTCCCACAGGTTTTCCAGCGTGGCCGGATCGACCGTGTACGAGGTCTTTTCCGAGCCGCGAGGCTTTCCGGCGACGATGTTGTGGAAGCTGGTGAAGGAGGGTTCGTCGGCCATGTTGGGCGAGCTGGCTGACACTGTGAAGGCGAAGGCGGTGCGGGGATGATACTGATACTGATTCTGGTCCTGATGTTGAGCCTGATTCGGAGTCTGATGCCGATACTGTAGGCGGCAAGCGGCGGGGTATCCAGTCCAGCAACAACAACGTCTTCCTTGCTCTTGCTCGAGAGACTGGCGGACGTGCCACTAATATAAACCCTCTAGAGGTTCACTCCGTCCGGCCAGCGGCTTAAGTCCATTCTCCAGCCAGATATTAATGCCAATGCTTCCTGGGCCGCGGGCCCGTAAGATCCCGTGCCCGAATGAGGTGGACCTGAGATACCGGCTCGCATAAGCCTGAGCAGCCCACCACCACCACCGCTGGGCATGCCGTACGCTGGTCAGGCCTTCTCCGAGGCTTCTAGAGCAATCCGATCGATGCTCGCAAAGCCTGCCTCCTGCTGTCGGGGCGGCATCTGGGATTTATCCGACTTCTACTGTAATACATGCATGTGCCTGATTCCACCTGGTGGTGCTCCGGGAACGGAAAACTCGGTCCAGCTCTCATATCGACGGGCAAGACGCTTCTGTCAATCTACCATCTAATGTACAGATTGAAGGCATGTCAGCAGGCGGGCAGAATAGCTGAAATGGTCGGTGCAAGAATTACAATGTTATTGGTAAGGGACAGCGAGACCCCCGGCATGGACATCCAAATCAGGAGGTATTAACGAGTGCTTCTCAGTCCTTCGAGTCGATACCTTGATACAAGACGACTGTTGGCCAGGCGCCACTTGGTCGCTTGTTCTTCCCATGGTTTTCCCCTTCTTCTGTACGGTCGTGGGCTCAGGCACCATCCCCCCGGGGAACAGGTAAAGCCGCTCAGCGGCCAGCCCGTTACGATCCCCTCGACCCAGCCTCGACCCAGCCCTATACCAGAACCAATTGGCTACATTTTCAAACAGCGGCGTCCGCAGGCTCGTGGCGCGGAGTGGTGGCGCCATGTTCCCCTTGACGGCGCGGACTGAGGGCGCCATGTTCGCCGTGGTGGCGGATGTGAGTGTGGTGCAGCGCCTGTTCCTCAACCCGAATGATGTGGCCTTCGCCAGTATCCGTCACCGCGTTCAGTTTGGCTCCTTCATCCAGTCGGATGTCAACTTGGTTGGTCATATACTCGTCCACATTCTTGGTAAAGCAGACGATGACGGTTCCGACCACACCAAACGCAATCGACACCAGGTAGACAATCCGCAGCGAGTGGACGAAGGCACTTTGCACTCCCTTCACCCCAACCTCGAGCTGGGCGGGCGTGAGTCCGGCCAGTACCGACTTCGGGGCCGCGCCGCTAAACGCCTCCACGACGGTCGGAAGGATGCTCGGCGAGACGCCAGCGGCCAGGAGCGGGTATGCAACATACTTGACCACATTCGTCTTGAGTTTCTCGGTGAAAATGCTGACGTAGATGACTTGTCCAACAGAGCCACCGATGTTGCGGGCAGTGACAGCCAGGGCAGTCGCGATACCGATGTATTCGTGCTCCACCGCCAACTGGACCATGGCAGTCGCGACAATCATACCGCCACCGACGCTGATGCCCTCCATGGCGACCAGCACAGTAGAGGCAGTGCTCGAGCTAGGCGCTGGAAAGGGGTTAGTCGTCGGGGATAGAGGTCAGAGGGTCAGGAAGCTGGGGACTTACAAACAATGGCCATGCATCCTGACGCGACCGTGCCGATTACAATGATAAAGATAAACAGCAAGCGGGCGTGGCCGAACGTGAAAAGAAACCCGAATAACGGAGAGGAGATGATCCCCGCGATACCCAACGCCGATGCATACCAGCCGATCTTGAGCAGATCCGAGGTATAAAGGGCCTGGACTTGCTGGGGCCACAACACCGCGGTAGAGTAGTACAACATGCCGAAGAGGAATGTGCCCACAAGAACAAACGTGACTCCGCGGATCTTTCCCAGGACCACGGGAGGGAACAGCGGGAACAACATGTCGACGTATGCCTCGTAAAACCCACAGGCGATCAAGAGAACGCCTCCCAGGACGATCATGGAGATGGTGCCGCCGGATTTCCTGGACGGTTGTTAGCGGGCAGGACCCAAAGGGGGTGAAGCATTCATCATACCAGGCCAACAGATTGCCACCGAAAGAGATTCCCAGGAGGAACAGGCAGAGGCCGGCGCCGCAGAGCAGAAATCCGATCCAGTCCATGTCGCGGAGTTCCTGCCAACGGCTCTTACCCTCTTCCCGGATGTATTGATTCTTCGGGTGGTAGAAGAACAAGACCAGGACGAAGGCGACACAGTTCAGGATGAACGGGACCCAGTACGCCCAACGCCAGGTGGTGTGGTAGGCGATTGCGTTTCCCATAATGGGACCAAACGCGCCCGCCGGGGCACATGCCAACTCGAAAATGCCGATGGCAAAGCCGCGATATTTCTTGGGAACCATCTCCGAGACCGCTGCCCATGCCTGTTGCTGGTTGGCAGATGCGATGCCGATAAAGATGCCTCCGCCGATGAGAGTGTCGACCTTGTTGCCGGTGGCCGAGACCACGCAGCCGATGAGGCCGAAGATATCACCGAGGAGAATGAAATATCGTCGACCGTAAATGTCGCCCAAGCGGCCAACCAGAAGGCCGAACACTCCTACAGGGACGACCTGTGAGGTGGAAATCCAGGAGAAAACGCTTGAGGGTCCTATGGCGCATAGTCAGCCGGGTGGTCGGAGTAGAGAAAGCCCACGGCTTGCAAGTCTCATGGACTTTCACCTACCGATGTCGGCGTTGATTGTGGTCAGAATGGCAGAAACCATCTGAATGCAAAACACGGCGGACAAGTAGCCTATTTGCAGGCCCTATCTCATCGTCAGCATCATGTTTAAGGCGAACGGCTTCGTAGAGATGCTTACCGCGATGGCCATGAATTTGCCGATGGTGAAGTGGAATTCCTCCTCCACGTCAGACACAGGCGGCGTGATCCTGTGTCCGGATTCATCGTGCTCGACCTCTTTCTCGGAGCGGTGCGTTGCGTCCGCACTGAGACTGTTTTTTTCTGGATTGGTCGACATCGCTGAAGAAGTCCGGGATGATGGGACGACAACAAGGTGATGGACAAGAAAGGCGGAGGCTACAGAGAGAGAATCTGAGTGAGACTAGGTCTGAGCTGAAGGCTGAGCTGGCTCTATATCTCCATCAGGTCAGGGCCGGAAAGGGGTCACAAAAGAGTCCGTACTATTCCCCAGATTTCATTGCATTACCCAAGACCTGGAGAAGTCCACCGGGGTAGGGACGGAATTGACCAGGCCTAGTCCGTAGAAAGCTAGGCCTCAAGGAAGAGATGCAAGCTAATATCAGGTGGAGATTGCATGTCCACGATCGTCAGACAGAGCCGGCGGACGTCGTGGAGGCTTGTCCAGACGATGCAAGACCGGTGCTACCCGGAGAGCAGAATGTTAGACGTCGGGAAACAAACTGGGAGGTGAGAGGGTAACGGGCAAGAATCGATTCCGACTCCGGTCGCGCCGGGTGATGATTTGGTGAACCGATGCAACCAGTCATCTGTGAGAAGGGGCTGAACCACGCCAGTAAGGCTGACATGTGGAGTTCGGATGTAGGAACGCTATCACCCGTAACAGCCAGACACCCCCTTTCGCTCTGTGGAATTACCAACATTGAAGTCTAATACCGGCACGGACCCCAACCGTCGGCTTCGAGACCATCATCCTGCCAACCAGCTCGTAAGAAGCGAGCGAGAGAAGCGAGCGCCAACGTCTGCAGGGCCGGGGGCCACGGGCAAGACACCCAATCTGTGACCCCCTCCGTCGCAAATAACGGTGCCCTGGGTTCGGAATTCTGGAAATATGCAAAGCCCATCGAACGTGCTTCCACTGGTGTCATTAGTGTCCTGCAGTCAAGGGCACACATTTCGGGAGCAGTCAAGGTCCGCTGCGTCGTTCATGGGAACCCCGGCCTAGTGCTAGCATGGGCGAAGGTATACGTGTCGCACATCGCATTGACGAACGCCTAGGGGTTTCCAGGACTATCCCTAGGACAATCATCTATGAGGATCCGGTGACTTCGGCCGAACCAAGGACGACGAGGGCCTTTTTGCCTACTGTAAGCTGTTACTGGGGTCTCGGACTCGGATCCTTGGTCCTCGGATCCTGGTCCAGATCAGCAAGACTGCGAAAGGTAGCTTAAGCGCTCTAGGTTGATGCGTTCCAACGTCTTCAAAATCTTTTCAACATCGTGAATGACCAGCCGACCTGAGTGATGGGTCGGCCGAGCGATGGACAGCCGATGTCATGGGATCTCTGACCGGTCATCCAGCATTACCAGATCAGTGAAGCAGGATGCCGTTCTTCTTCGCTCCTCAGAACACAAGTAATTGCAGCTCCCCCCTCCAACTTCTGTGAAATCTTGGCGGTGACCTCGACCCCTTGTGAAGCCTCGTTTAGCTCATGTATTCCTTGCAAATTGTCCAGAGAACGACGTTCTCACTGGAAGGACCACATCCCGCGCTGGACACATCGACGAGCCACTTCTAAGCCACTCCTTCACCTGCTGCTGGTGACATTCATTGCCACGCAGACGGCCTCGATGTCAGGACATGTGCCTGGGCTTGTGCTTGTGCTTGTGCTCTATCTTGACTGCAGGCAATGACGGCCAGGGTGAGACTGGAGAGGTTATGGGAGACACGTGTTTGCTCATCGAGAAGCCAGGCTTTCTAGCGTCCCGAGACGACCACGCTTACAAGCATATGCAGGGGAGGTTGATGGCAATTTACGCCAGCTGAGAAAGGCGTGACGCCGTTCGAAAGCAGTCAGATTGCCAGGGGCGGCCCCGATCTCTTCCTGGAATAGTCTCAGTCACGATGTGTTTTCCCATACACATACCTTAGTCATAAATCTGAGATGTTCACCGCAGTCTCGACAATGGCGGCAGCAGGATTGAGACTGAAACAGTGAGCTTGCCGGAGCTGGATGCTCACCTTGCTGATGTTGAGCTGAAGACATGGAAGGGACGAATACACATAGATGGTGGGAAATGCGTAGACTTCCTAACATAGTTAGACTGACTGGTCTACTACAAGCTAGCCCCAATATAGTCAAATCATTCTGCGGTTGCTGTAGATGTGCGGCACCCCATAACAAATGACGTCATGACGTAATGACTGCGCCCCAGTGATCTTGCCGTTGCCCGCTGGCAGTCACCAAGTACATACCTAAGGACCTAGGCACCTACTAGGTACCTACACATAGGCACGGAGTACAGAGGTGCTATCTGCATCTTTGCCATATCCAAAAACCCGACTTATCAAAGCCTGTATGGCATGAATCCCCCCTGGCGTCCGTGAAAGGTAGCTTCTCAGCATGACCAAAGGGCGGCCCGTCCTCACCAGCGGCGTGGTAGTTAGAAAGGGCTACACCGTGCACGGGAAGGGAGCCAGCCTTGCCGTCATTCAGCCATCATGCCCACCTCTTCGATTTTCCCTGATTTCGTCCTCGGCCACCCAAGACATGCAAAGACTAGACAATCCAACGCCCCCAAAGGCCACAAGCCCAAAGCGCGGCCGCCGACGGGCTTTAGAGACAAAGTTCCCCTGTACGGCAAACTGCCTAAATACACGGGACCCTACGAGGTCGGCACGATCGATCTCGAAGTCCCGGCAAGAGAGCCACGTACATTTTCCGACATTACACGCCAGAAGGTTCATGTCCTCGCACTCGAGACTGTGCTAATGACCATCTACTATCCCGCCCACATCAATGTTGCAGTCGAGATCAAGACCCCGGCCGCGAAGCAAAAGTTCCGGCCAACATGGCTCAGCAGGCCAAGGGACCTCACCAGCCGAGGATACGGGAGGTTTGCTACACTTCCAGAGCGGCTGACAATGCTGTGGTTCTTCTGCACCGTTTGGTTCACAAAGCTGCCCGCATACAAAAACGCCAGGATTGCAGATCACTGGCCGCAGTACGGGCGGGCCTCTGCGCATCATCGCAAGACGACACGCAGGAAAGGTGATCCTCCGCCAGGCGGGCCCGAGAAGCCGAAGTTTCCTCTCATCATCTTCTCACATGGTCTGGGGGGCACACGGACTGCCTATTCCTCGGTCTGTGGCGAGTTTGCAAGCCATGGATTTGTGGTGGTCGCGTTGGAACATAGAGACGGCAGTGGGCCACGATCCCTGATAAACCACCCGAAGGATGGGCCCGCAAGCCGGCCCAATCGAGAGAGAATGGGCAACATCGAGCACCGACCTGATGATCTTGATCGGCCGTATGATATGGTCGACTTTGTGTTTCCGAAGCATGACAAATACGACACCACTCCAGGTCACAAGGTGGACAAGGAACTACGAAGTGCCCAGATCGACCTTCGCCTCGCGGAGATCCATGAGGCGTATCTGGTCATGCGAGACATCTGTGCGGGAAATGGTGCAAAGGTAGCAGCGAGCAATCTCCGCCTCAAAGGAGCAATCGGCGCGTCAAAGGCAGGGCTTGACGGCATTGACTGGTCCTACTGGACTGATCGTTTCCACACCACCGGTGTCACAATGGTCGGACACTCATTTGGCGCCACTACTGCGGTTGAACTGCTACGGCAGCGGGATGAAAGTCGCTTTCAATACGTCACGCAGTGCATTGTCTACGACATCTGGGGCATGCCGGTGCGTCCCAACCCAAGCCATCACATTCAGGTACCATTGCTGGGCATCAACTCCGAGGCGTTCATGTACTGGGCGGACAATTTCAACGTTGCACGGGACATAGCACAAGAGGCCCTAGACGCTGGTCAGCCCGCCTGGCTCCTCACAGTCAGGGGCACAGTGCATATATCCCAGTCAGACTTCTGCATCCTGTACCCCCACATCGCGAGTCTGGTGCTGAAAATGACCGCGGACCCTGTCCGTGCGATTGATTTGAACCTCGATGCATCACTGGATTTCCTGGCGCGGGTTATCCCTCAGCATATACTGAGGCCTGATCAACCGTTTCTGCGTACCCTTGTTGAAGACAAAAAGCTGTTAGATCTGCCCATTCTGCACGATCTCCCGACCGAGCATCAGCCAGATACCAAATGGATGGCGATAAGACTCAAGATTCCCCATGAGGGAATCAAGCGAATCACGCCGGGAAGCAGGAAACGGTACTGGGGGAAGTTGCACAAGATGGGAGAGGAGGAGGTCTGGGTTCATTTGAGTCCGGAGTGTACCCGGGGTGGGAAGTGCAACACATGTACGCAGCAGACTTGAAGCCAGGCATCTGATCAAACCTCCCTCCAACAAAAAGGGCAAGATGGTGGTGCTGACTGGGAGAGCGTTGATGCTGACTCTGGTTAGAGAGCGCGTACAGCAGTTGACATTGGGCAGTGCCATGAATCCAGGGGTTGCAGCCTTGTAGCATACCACTAACCGTACAACGCAGACGTGGCGCGACGAGACAATTTGTACTTGTACTTACACTTGTCTAGCCCGTTGGGCAAACATGGTCTTGATCGTCCTCAAACGTGGTCTGCTGCTGCATCAGAAGTTTGTGCGAATTCACAGCAAACCGACCTTTCCGCCCTGGTTTGTCCAGCAGGACGAATCCATCAAACTGGGCAAAACACCCTGCCTGCCGCTGTTGGTTCACCCCAATCTTCTAGAACTTTATAACGTCTGCCATGATGCGTTTCGCTTCGCTTCTTGCTCTCTGCTGCCCAGGCACAGTGACTTAGTGACTTCTGGTTCACGAGAGCCTTTCAGAGGTACATTCCCACTCACCAGTGTCAAGAGTCCTCACCAGTGTCAAGAGTCCTCACCAGTGTCAAGAGTCCTCACCAGTGTCAAGAGTCCTCACCAGTGTCAAGAGTCCCGCCCTCCCCCGGCACTAAAGAAATGAGTCAAGAAGACTACATGCAAGAAATCTGGTGGCGGTTGAAATATGACTGGGAGATTGCTGAGGCCATAGGAGACAAGCTCACCGACTTTGCCAACGACCCCAACATCCAAACCCTCAGGAACAGTCCACATTGGGACGGGCTGGTGCAGCGACAATCGCGCCTCGTGCTGTTGCTGACACAGCTCCTTTTAGCAAAGGGCGAAGTAAGACTTTCCTGTCCTGCTGCTCGTACAGTACCTCATTCACCACCTCACTATCAAGACGGTTCCCGACTATCCATCCTTCTCCGCCTGTCCTGAAACCTCGTCAACTGTTCTTCTCCGCCTATTCTTGACACCTCCACTGACCTTCTCCCCCTATTCCTGAAATCTCCTGCACTGACCTTCTCCCCCTAGTCCTGAAACCTCCTCCACTACCCATCCGTCTCAAGCTTTACCAGGATCCTCCCGTCTCCAGCTCTTCCCAGGGTCCTCCGATCTGGAAATCCCTCCCCCCACTCTATCGATACACTTTTAGGATTCAAGTATGAGCCAGGCTAACTTGCCCATAGACCAAGCTTTCCGTTCTAGAGATCCTCAGTCGTCACGGTGATGGACTGGGGAAGTCCATCTTGGAGCTGGTCGTGGACCGAGAAAGAGAGAAGCATGCCGCGGAGGGTGTACGGCCCAGTCGACCATCTTTTCAAGGAGGTCAGGCTGGCCCTAGACGGGCGGTTGTCCCTAATAGCCAACAAGCAAAAGCAATTCCGAGTCAACAACGCCTTTGGCCAACCTATCCGCCAGGACCCAGCACTCTCTTTCCCCAAGGTCAACAGCCAGGCGCAGGCCAATCACCCCTGCAGAGCTGGCAGCCAGGTGCCGTTCTGACCTCGATCCCGGCCCCTCCAGCCCAACTTACATTCCCGAGCCAGCAGCCAGGGCCGAGTCATCTACCTGGGCCATATCAGGGCTATCAAGCACCCGCACCCGCACTTCCGCCCTGGATAGAGCCGCCGCAGCCGCAGCAACCAGAACAACCATTCGATTGGAACACTTTCGACAGTCCAGCAGAACTCGTGGCCTACATGAAGAGGCGACACCCCGGATGGTCACCAATAGTCTCACCATCACCAGCGCCAGCGCACAGCGAAGCCGAAGCCCAGGAACAGGAACAGGCACAGGTCCTGTCGGCACGCAAGTACGATACACTGCCACCGCCGATCATCCCTCCACCTCCACCTCCGCCTCCACCGCTTCAACCCGGTGGCTACCGAGCGATCCAACCACGGCCCCCTCAAGACGTCATAGACGCTGCTACGATCGCCTCGCAGGCTGCGGGAGATCCAACCTCCTCCGGGGCTCGGGCTCAGAGCCAGGGCCAGGCCCAGCACCTAGGATCCGTCCACCCTCCGATGAGACATGGGAAACAGCCCGAGTCCGCGACGAAACGACAATCCCAATCCCAATCTGCCGTCCAGCCATCGAGCGACGACCCGCCTGTGAAAGGAGCGAAGCGTCTTCCTAGAGGGAGGAAAGGTTAGGAGCCAAATAGTCTGGAGTGAGCGATGCGTCTTCCTAGAGGGAAAAGATAGGAGCTGAATAGTCTGGAGTGAGCGATGCGTGTTCCTAGAGGGAAGAGATAGGAGCCAAATAGTCTCGTGGATGCTGGTAAGTCAACAAAAGAAGATTCGGACTAATCCTCATCTGGGTTTGATACGAGTGAGAGAGGATGAGTGCCATCAGTGCAATACAGTCCATGTATCCATCCGTATGATGAGCTACCTGTATTCAACACTGGACAGGGGCTGACTAGGAGCTCTGGCCGCAGACGTGGGCTTGGGCTTCGTTCGTGCCGTGAGGCTTAGGCCACCGCATATTGGCTGCCTCTCGTAGCTATAGCATCTACGGGCTCACCGAACGTGAAGAGCAAACATGGAATTGAACTAATGTAAAACAGTTGCTTGTTATTGCTTGTTATTGCTTTTCATTGCTTTTCATTGCTTTTCATTGCTTTTCATTGCTTTTCATTTCTTTCATTCCTTTCATTGCTTTCATTGCTCCTGCCACCGTCGGGTCAGGATGGGTATCTTCTGTTGTTGCGTCTCGTAATGACAATCGAAAGCATGAGTCCAATCACATCCCTGAACCCTTCCGGAGAGCGCCTCGTAAGCCAATTCCATCCCATCCTGTTGTCTATCGCAAGCCAAGTCGTTAAACTGTTGCAGCCACTGCTACGTGATAGACCTTTGTCGTACCGTGAAAGGCGAAACTTCCAACACTTGAATAGAGCCCAAGTAAGGCACAATTATTCCCTGCCGCCGTTGAGGGCGGACTTGTCGCTGTCCCAACCAAGAGACATCGGATTCCAAGGCCAGGTGATCAGCTTGCCGTCTGGCTCCAACTTTCACCGTCTTCACCGTCGGTTGGAAAGTGGTCCTTCTCAACGACGCCACTGAATCGACCTGTCCCGCCCTCATAAAACCCGTCTTCAACGGCAGCCCAGCGGTCCAAATTATTAGGCCAGCCAAACGTCATGCCCCAGCCTTCCTCGAGAACACGCTTCTCAATCGGGTGTATGCATTGAGTCAAGTTGCCCAACCACGGATGATCCTCACTGTCTGAACTGTACTTGTTCATCATGACCCGGTTCCAAGAGTCGGTCTCACTCGAACGCGGATGACGCACGCGGAGACCAGTCACGGGTGTCTCAGGGTCCGAGTTCGCTGGGGGAACTTGCATGCTGAACCGCTCTTTGCGGGCACGAAGACCACTGTCCAAAGGCGAAAAAAGATGGCAGACCGCCGCGTTCTGTTTGTACCCACGATGCAGTTTCTTCGGCAGGGAAATCTTGACATAACCACAGCTGTTGAAGATGATTTTCTGGTTGTGCCCACGGAATGTTCGCTTGGGTAGGGGCGGGGAACCTGTGCGGTGGCAGCCGGCCTCATGCTTCCGTTCAGCAGGCGTGGTGCCAGGTGTGATACATTCCAGAACCCGACACCAAGCTGCGCTGGTGGGCAAACTCTCTCGATGCCAGTTCCAGGGGTCGTACTGACAACGAAGATTATCTCCGGCGGTAGTCAAAGCATGTTCGAGAGTAGGGTCATGAAAAGGGATCATGCTGACCGAGTCAAGAATCAACGAGTGGAGACTGGTGTCCCAGCTCCTCTTCATAAATTCTTGCAGCATCCATGGACTGAACCAACAGTTCTCAAATTTCAGATCGCGGATATGGTCAAACTTTGTCAAATCGAGAAGCTCCTTTCCGTCCATCTTCTCATGGAGCCAAGGCTTCGGGTCGTGTACGATTGGAGCTGGCAAAACATGCTGATTTCGGGCACACATACCAACAGCGTGTTCCCCTCCGCCAACATAGCCGATAGTCAGGCTGTGTAGATGTTCCATCTTCACCACATATAAACGAAGAAACCGAGTAAACATCTGGGCAGCTTTAGCCGGGGAAATAGACATGTTCCTGGAATGGCTCCGATCTCCGATACAATGTTCTTGTCGCCAATCAGGACTAATGAGGATCTGAAGCTGCTTCAGGCCCGGTAGCGAGCCCCAGAACTCGCCCTGTTCCAGAGACGGAAGAAGACCAGATGATAATTTGGAGATTCGGACCGTATGAATACGTCGGAAATTTTGCTTATTGGTAATGATAGCAGTTGTGTACGCTGATAGAAAGGCTCGTTGTGCCCAGACAGTCTCCAGCAACCATTGAGCCTGGGCTTCGGTAAGATGGCCAGGGAGAAGAGGTGAATTCATCGGATGCGAGAGTAGAGTCTGCACAAAGGTGCAGTGGCCCCCCACCTCAGCTGCAACGTTGTGCCCACTAAAGATCAAAGGCCATTGCGCCTGTCTTCTGGGAGAAACCCCCCGACGACCTGCTGCTCGACCGACGCGGCCTGCGGCCACAGTATTCGCCTGCATCCAGCGACCAACCAGAATAAGAGGAAAATTTAGGGCATGCTGCTCGGTAGTCCCAGCTGGTCCACCAATATGACAGTCTGGGTCGTAATCGGGCTGTTGTTCTTGGGCTCTGAAACTTTCCATGTCGCGGATCTGAACCGAGTTCAAGAAATTCATCTCTCTGACTGTAGAGCCCTGCTCCGGCGTTCGATGTTCAAGTAGGTGTTTCGTTGTCTCATTGATTGTGTTCTGCTGCGCCCACCGGAAATATTCGCCCCGGGCAAATGTGGTCCAGACGTCTTCCGTTGCGAAGGTCTTGCCAAAAACTTTGCTCCCATTCCCCAGACGCCGGCTGAACAAAGCGAGATCTGAAACATCAGGTCCTTCGAGCCATCCATGTCCACTATCAATGCAAAGCCCAAGTTCGGAAGCTTTAGTGATATGTTTGAACGCCTCTTTCAGCAATGGACGATTGTGGTCAACCAGATCTTCCACCGATTGCAAGGCTGGAAAGCGTGGATACTGTTTCGTTGGCCAAGTGAAAGTCCCAAACCAGGCCGTCTGCTCCTCTTCAATGACTTTCGGCTTCGCAGAACTAAGCCCAGCCAGGTCGTACTCAAATGATACACCAAACTGATTAATATTCGATCCATACTCCTGAAACATAGACTTGGATGGCGACCAACCGGCTTCGCCGTCATAGCTTCCGCCCGTCACGTCAAAGAAGCTTTGGCCAAAATTGACAACCACGTTGTGAAACAGAAGCTTGTCCAGGACCCCTGCAAGTTTATGGCTAACAAGTCGGAGCCGCTTAAGATCCTGCGTGGAGAGATAGGTGGCAATATCCATCCATAGATTGGTGTCGAAGTCTTCCAAGCTGATGGATGGGGATGCCGCGGTCGTCCCCGTGACGGCTGTGATCCTCGGTCTCGGTAAAGTCCTTCCAACACTTCCTGGGCCAGAGTCCAGTGTAGACTGCGGTTCTGATGCTAACCAGACCCGCGGGTAATAAGTATGAGAGCACTTGCACGGGGTCTTGCCTTTTCCCGCCCCATCTTGTTCTCGGCGGGGTCGCCGATCTAGATCTGGCACAGGAATGTATCTCTCCGAGTCCGAGTCCGAGTCCGTGGAAGAGTTCGATGTGCGGCGTCGTGCGGTGTCCAGGAATTTCTGCTTCTCACTCTCAGGAATGCATTCAGGCACAACCGCAGCGTAATCAAATGCCGGGGGTAAGTTCTCATCCACTAAGGGCTCACCACAAGAGTCGTGTATTCTCCCCTGCGAGTTGCAAGACTTGTCGTCTTTCAGGGTTGAAATTCCATTGATGAAAGTCTCCTGGGGCAAGCTGCTCCCAGGGCTTATCATGGGCTGTTTGCTGCTTTCCGGCGTCTCGCACTGAATAGTTTGGAGAGCTGCATGACCAGATTCAAGTAATCGAGACTTGCTCTTCTCCGAAGGGCTCGCTGGAGCAAATACTAAGCTAGAGTGTGTGTTGTCGGCCGAGGACGACGGGACTGAGAATTGTTCAGCGGCTGTGAATTGGCGTGCCTTCTTGCGTGGTTGTCCAATAGATCCTTCTAGGGTCTGAGGTGCTCTGGCAGTTATAGCTCTAACCACTTGCCTCTTAGTCTTGGTGTGTTCTTCAAAATTTGTTCTGCGAGACAATCCGGAACGGGGAAGTTGAGAAGTATGGTCTGCTGGTTGAGAGGAATGGCTGGCGCTCTGGGCTCTTGAGGGCCTACGCCTCGAGTCGGTATCGGGAGGTGTAATAGCAGGCTGCGACCTGCCTCGCGACGGCTTTGTTGATGTCGTTTGCTTTGACGATGGTCGGATTAGACTGGGGACGTTTTCGCCGCTGGGGGCTTCTCGAGTACCGAGCTCCTTTCGCACCAGACGTTGTGGCCGTCGGGTACCCGTGTAAGAGGCAGCTGGTTGCAGAGGGTCCGACTCATTGAAGGTGGACTGCAAGTTTGTAATGTCCGAGAGACCAGTAGTCGGAAGCGTCCTCGTCTCATCAGTCGATGACTGCCCCGTACACTGATCCGAGACTTGAGAGAGTCCTTCATGCGTTGGGTCGTCTAAAGGAGTCCCGAAGATCACAGATTTGTCATAAGAGCTAACATCGCCGTCCACTTCATACTCCACATCTGTATATGGAATATGGTGCCTCTCGCAGGAGGTATGGCCATGGTATGACGGGTTCAAATTTGTGGAATCCGCCTCCCTTCCTTTCCCTTTGTCCAACACTGCAGATAGCTCGAGTCTTTGACATTCTGATCGTAAATATCTCGTCAAGGTCTTGGGACCGAAATCCGTGGTGAAAGGGTGGACAATCGGAGGATGCTCGCACACCGGCTGCTTTCTTTGTGGTGAAGCAACACTTTCGACACCAGTACGGGAGAGACCGCCAGGAGCGTCACGGACATTAGACTCCAAGTTCACTCCAGTGGCAGAAGGGTCGCTGTCAGACTCGCCTTCTGAGCTCAGACGCTCAGGGTGTCTGAGGGTCATTGTTGGATCTGACTCCAGATTGAACTTGCATTTGGAGGGTTTGTCGTCGGATTCGCAAGAACGAAAACTCACTCACGTAAAGGAGACGGGGAGAGCGCTCGGAAGGCTAACGACAGAGGACGAAGAGCGTCAAAAAAAAGAAGGGAGGCGAGCGTGATACAAGAGTGAGGATACTTTGAACCGGGCGCAGGCTGCAATAATGAGACTTCACTTTCCAGTCGTATCCCGCTCGTATCCCACCAACCCCGACTGCGATTTCGAGCACTTGCAATTGGCCGCAGATCCCAATTGACCTAGTCAAAGGGAGACTAGCGTTATTTCCCCGGGTCGGCCCCCCGGAACGGATTATCATTTATCCAAGGGGCTACGGTGTGGTACGGTGCAGTTCGGTGCAGTACGTTGTGGTGCGTGGGAGGAATGGTGGAAGCCGACGCCACTGGGACAGTCAATTTCAATAAAAGCATTCTGCGTCTCATTTTTTCTGTTCTGTCGCCAATATTAAATGAAGATGCAGCACCAGCCCAGAGACTCCTCCATCCTAATATGCTGTGTGGGTATCACTATGGACGTGGAATTCCAACCAACCCCTGTTGAATCCAAGCCTTCCTGAACGTATGTTTGTCATAGACCAAATGACGGCTTAATCCTGATAGCACCAGTCCTCGCTTGATTCCATTCATATAGCCCAAGAGATCATCACTTCGTCATGAGAGGTGCCAATGTCGATCCTCCTGTTCCATATTCTGTGGTGGCGTGTCCAATCCTAGGTTTCGAACAACAGCAGTGTTTGCCCAAACCCGTTGACGTGGTCCCGACCCACAGCCTCCGGGGTGCCATCGATGCTGACCATGTTGACCGACGCCTTAGTCGTGAGGCCATACAGGCTCACATTCGTCGAACACTCGATGTCGACCATGTTTTCCTGACAGGACTCCGTATCCAGGCAAGACTGGATGTAATTGTCGAAGAAACTGTACAGGCCCGCGCCATACATGTACACATTGTCAGAATCAACAATGCGCAAGCCCCAGGTCTTCTTGCAGGATTCGGTAGTGCAGTCTGCAAAGTTTGGGTCCTTAAAGGTGGGGTTTGGCGGAAATCCTCCATTTAAAGCGTCAGGCGAGGCCTGCATGTACGCAGTCTCGGTCTGGATGGCACCCATGAAAATGTCTTGCGCGTTGGAGAATTGGTAGTTGTAAAGCTGGCTGTGCTCCGATGAAGTACCCCAAAGCCATACAGGGCCTTGACTCTCCACCAAGAGACCACGGCCATTGAAGATGTCGGTTTGACTGTGGCCAGTGAGGTCAAGTTCATGATCAGCAACCCAAAACCAACAGTTTTCGAGATAGGCCGAGGCCTGCTGTGTAATATGCATCATCAAAAATGAGCCCGCACATTCCGGCTTGAATTGGAAAGACCCGGTCACATTGGCCTGGCAGGTGTCTTGCTGTAAGAGGGTGCCTGCAGTTCCTCCGATGCGGAAGTGGACATCCCACATCCCACAAGAGCCCTGAGATGTCTCGGCCACGTTCCATTCCACCATGATTGCCCCAGGCAGCGGCCCCATTGTCTCAAAGATGAGGTCTGTGATTTCCACAGAGCCAGTATCGCCTGGCAGACCAATTTGGAAAACGGGTTTTGGATTGTTCAGGTCTGCGAAAGCACTACCCTTGGCCATGATCAAAGGCCATATCTCGCCAGTGATTTTGATATTGTTTGGTACCTTCACTGTGTTTGTGACAACGTAGGCGCCATGATCGAAGTATATTATCTGGCCGGGGGCCGCCTTGTCCAAGATGCTCTGGATGACAGCGGTGTCATCAGTCACGCCGTCCCCTTTGGCTCCCGCAGACTTGACGCTCACAAACGACGAGACTGGTGTGTTTTCATATTGTGGCTTCGATCGTTCGAACACAGCATTGCCGTTCATAAGGGATGCAGGCAACGTGGGCGCTGTCAGCTGTTGCTGGACTCGTGCTGATTGCAGTGCCACCGATGTTGCAGTGCAAACTTTTGAACTGGAAGCACTCGAGGTATAATTACCTATTCCAACACCTGTACTAGTGCTAGGGGGTGGCAGGGCAGAGACAGTCACTGTTGTGGTGGTCACAGAAATATTGACGGTCGCGGGCACAGGCGAAACTGTCACTGTTTCTGTAGTTGTGGTAGTTGAACAAGCACCAGATGTCGAACTTATATCTGCCTGTGGCGTCCGTTTGACTCGTTGAGAAATATCGCCTGGACGATATGCGTCACCTTGGCCCCATGACTGGACGACAGTCGATCCTGCGAGAATCTGATCCACACCGTTTGCACCGACGATTGCAACTTGAGTACTGGTGAAATCCACATTCTGCAGAGCCAGCGTCCCACCCGTTGATGGCTGACTTGTTTGATTGTACGATGTCTTAATTCCGATGCCGGTGTTTCTCATGACGCTGTCGAGAACGACGATAGAGCCGACAGTCTGATTGGTGGCATCAGCCAGGTTAGACATGTCGATACCGACATCGCATTGATTGATGGACAGCGATTTGAAGGTCCACAGCCAATTCCAGTTCATGAAAACCGCAGTATTGCATCCGTTGAAGGTCAAGTTCCTGCTGGTGAATTGCTGGTTGCCCAAGAATGCACCGTAATTGCCACCGTTGAAAACAAGGTCGCTGATGAAGCCCCCAGATCCATTGTCCATGAAGATTCCCTGCTGCTTGTTGGTGGGACTTTTGGCGCACATATTGAAAACAATGTTCTGTAAGCTGGTCGCTTGTGCAACTTGCCAGTGGATCCCAGCACCTCTGTCCTCTGGCATATGGGTCAAGTCAATCACGAAGTTTCGCACTTGGCGGTAGAAATTGTTTTGGTTGGTGTACCACTGGGCACCGTTGCCGCCGGGGATGTATGGATCGGTGTCAATGATTGCGAGACCCTCAAAACTTGGTAGAGCCATAATGGTCGGGATAGTGATAGCATCACCGACAAATTGTGTGTAGTAGTACTGGACGATGGGTGCCGATACAGCATATGTACCAGGAGGAAAGTAGACAATTGCCGGTGTGGTAGTTGAGCTGTCGCAGCCCATTCCACATCTACTTCCGTCAGAGACGGCATTGTTGATGGCAACTGTATCATCGGTCACGCCATCACCTTGAGCTGTCAGCGCATTCTAGCGTTTAAGTACCAGTGTACTCACCAACAGCGCCATAGTCTTTGACATTGCGAAAGATCTTGTAGTTTGGGTCAGAGCCGAAAGCAACGGTTCCTTGTCGCTCGATCTGAGAGAACCAGTAAGGGGAGGTTGCCTGTCGTGGTTTTGCTGGTGCATGTGGGCTTGGAATGGCGCCACAGAGCCATGGGAGGATGAAGTAGAGGAACAACATCATGATCGAATTGTGTTGCAGAATCATGTTCTCTGGGGTAAGGAAGAAGGCTGTATCGGTAAAAAAGGGGGTCGGGACAGATCTCAGATCCTAATACTTTGAGGTGGCCAGCACCAGACAAACAGTCGTGTCGATTGCACCAAGTCCTGCTTGAAGGGAACAATCACAGAGGGGGTGCGTGACGGTTTTGTCAATGGTGGTGAAAGATCGGTTGGTAAGAAGGCCTGGTGAGCAGTTGCGACCACCCGTCACCACCCGTGCGAAAGACTTCGTATGCTATGAGACGCACGACAAAAGACTGCTGTGGGAAGTGTCGACTGCGCAAGTGGCAAGTGACAAGTGACAAGAGAAAACAAGTTGAGTCGTAGTGGTCATGCGACGATCGCAGGTGCCGCGCGCAGCTGAATAACAAGCAACAGACGGAAAGAGGGTGCGGCAGATTCTCAACTGCGCAGTGATTGACAGCACGAGGAGAACCTTCCAACAAACGACAGTGCTCAAATTTCCCAACGTTTTTTATGAAGCGAATGAATCCCAGACAGAAACACAAGACACATCAGCATGATCATTGGAAGAATAGAAGAAATTAAGAATGAACAGGAGGCTGCTGCGCAGTGGTGCAGTGCTGGCCAGCGCAGCGCAGCCTGTTGTCTTACACTCAACTTCACTGGCTGTACTTACACTGCATTTCATCTCCGTCTTTCTCCATTTTGGATTTACTGTTTATCCACCTTCTGCTGGGCGTTCGTTTCCCCTGGAAGCCACAAAGAAAAGAAGACATGTCGTCGTCTCCGATGTCTTGCTTCTGCCACCGGGCATCCCCGATTTCTCCGTGCCGCCATACCAGTGTTGGAAACAGCCGCAGCCAGGATTCAGGCACGAGCTGCGCACAGCTCTCCTCATCCTCTGATTCGAGAGACCACAAGGCCTAGAGATCTCCTTAATCCGTGCAAGTCTGGACAATCTGGCATAGGCGGGGAGGAGGGCAAAAGCTCAGAGAGTAAAGGAGGAGGTTCAAAAACCAACGCCTCTTGTCTCACACCTGATTGGCGCGCGTGGCACACGATGAAACGTGCCGAAACTTGGTCTGTTTGACAAACGGAGATACAGATTGATTTTGGTGGCTGATTGTGGCTGGCTGCACAGTCCGGTTCGGGTGCAAGCAACCTGCCCATGCTGTTCTACGGATATTCTGTCCAAAGTGAGTTGCGCTGACCTCGTGCCAGCGCAGACCTTGTGAATGGTCTAAGCCGGCACAGCAAGTCACCTGCTAGTGCCAGATGCTTATTCCACATGCCCTCTGACAGCGAGGCAGTCCTAAGGCCATCGCCAGAGAGACTTTCAGTATTTCTCGCAGTTCTCACCCTCAGCTGATTCGTTCATCTCTCGTTTTATCACACGCGCCAACCGCACAACACCCTCTTCCAGCACATCCAGTTCATCCCAGGCATAGCAAAGCCGTAGATCACTCTCAAATCGTGTTGCCACATTCTCTTCGTCACCTTGCACTTTGAACTTGGGGCCGGAAATGATGGTCAGATTCTCTTCTGCCAGTGCTCGTTTGTATATTGTGGTTGAATTGAGAGATCCTGGCAAGGTCAGCCAGACAAAATATCCGCCCGCAACATCTTTATCAGCCTGGGGCATGGTCAAACCGAGCGGCAACAAGTGTTTCTCAATGGCTCGCATTATGCGATGGTACCGTCGGGAATATGCGGGCTGTAACTCCTCAAATATGTGTCTCTGTAAGGTCCCGCTGGCCAGCATCTGGTAGATGAACGATGCAACCAGATGCGATGGCGCCCCTCCTGACCGGCTTGATCCTGTCTGTGAAAGGCCATAGGCCAAAGCCTCGGTACCCTCAGCCCATCCAGTCCGACAACCTGGAGCTACAATTTTGCTGAAACTGCCATTGCTGACCGCATTCCCATAGTCGTCCGTGGGTCCGCCGTCGAGCTCTCGGTCAATGTCCACTATGCGTGGCATTACTGCCCTATCCATTCTGCGAGAGCCCTTGGTGGGATCAGAAGACCATTGTAACATGTCATAAACGTCGTCGGTGACAATTAAGGCGTCGTATTCTCTGGCCATTCGCACCAATCGGCGTCGATGACTGAGACTCATGATACGGCCGGAGGGGTTGGCGAAGGTGGGTACAGCATAGATGATATGTTTGAATATCTTCCTCCAAGGCTTTGGCGCCTTTAACTTCGGGATGGTGTTATTCTCCCGCAACGCTCGCTTCTCACTTTCCCGGAGAGCACCTTCCAGGTACTCGAGATCGATTCCTTCGGCATCTTCGGGGACTGCTTTCATCCGGTTGTCAAAGCCGGCGTCGGCAAATATTCTACATGCCAAGTAGTAGGTCGGTGCCACCATCCAAACATTGCGAGTGTAGATTGGGTCAGTAAACGTCTGCAAAATGCAGGCCAGGTTCTGACTAGCTCCTCCGCTAATACATATCCTGCCGCTTGAGATAGGTTCTCGGGGCTGGTAGAACGAACTTAACCACTTGGCTATCTCTTCCCGCAAAGGACCATATCCTTCATCTGGTCCGTAGAATAATACGTCCATATTGTTGGGATCGGAGAGAATGTTCGCGGAAGCATTGTTAAGCTGCTGCGGAGGGAGGAGCGTCGGATTTGGCCAGCCTTTGAAGAGATCGATCGGTCTCGGCGTACGAACTTTGGTGTCAGTACCATTTGTGATCGGTTGACGGCCTGTCCGGCGTGTCATGTTGATCGATATGAGGGCTCTTTGATATCGAGCAGAGGAGGTCAAGAACAACGGCCAAGGTGCATGGCGTGGCCGCATTCAAGGTGAATTCTTCAGAACCTAGCCCTGATTGATTGTGGTAGAGAGCAAGATTTTAGTCGTTCGCCCGCTGCTGTCAAAGGCGTCGCCGTCTGGTGGGCATCAGTTTTCGGAGACGATCTGGAAACACTCGTACCTAGTATGCGACGCCATAGGCGGGGGAGCTGGCGTCAGGGGGCAGAAATGGCCTTATGTAGGAGCCTCCTAAGCCCTGGATCTAGCGACCTTGGGACTAGATGGAGACCGCTTCCAGGCATCATTCTGAACGGGGCCGACGTCAAAAGCGGTCGGTGGTGGGGGATCCCAAGGAATGGGCTAAGAGGCTAAGGAGGCGACGTGTGCCTCCCCAGACCAAACATCCGGCGTACGTACTACTGTACTCGTACGTCCCTATTTACGTAGTCGAATTCCAGTTGTTTATCCCTGCAACTCTGCAACCTTGCCTGCGGCCATTGAATTCCACGCGTCTTCCACCATGCACAACGATGCTAGCTTCAGGGACCATGTTCCTGGGAGGCCTCCGTCGCCAACTTGCGTTCGCCGCCCGTCCGCTTTTTTCGGTCTCATTGTGTCATCTACCAGTGTCCCGAGAGTCTTACCTCCGCCCCAGGCAAGACATCGAGTCTGGCCTGATCGACTGCCAGTCTGGTGCTCAGATTCGCCCTGCAATATTCCTGTTTCCTCTGCGCCTCCTTCATTCCTCCTTCCTGGTTACAGTAACACTGCAGCGACCTAAAATGAGCTTAGCGACCACAACAACAGGCAGTGTCTTGTGTGACGTTCGTTATGAATAGCTGACCGAGCTTATCATTATATGTTGGCGGGCAGAACGGCATTCTGTGGAAGTCGATCTACCCTTCAAATCACCTTGCCATGGCAAAGAGGCTATCTTCACTGTTCTCCCTGTCGCGGGATGGCAAACCCCATCCTGAGCCACTCGGACCAGCACACCCGACTTACACGGCAGCTCTGACTACTCACAAATTGCACAAGAATCGCTTCACCGCATCATCTAACACCGATCTCATCGAAGGGTCTTCCGGACTTGCTCCTCCTCCTCTCCTCACCGAAACAGGACTTGTTCGTCCTCCAAGCAGCCAACGAAGTGGTTCAGAGAGCAGGCCTGGGAGTCGGGCGAGTAGTGGTCACAGTCAGGTCCACAGCCGTGAAGGAAGCAGGAGTCGCCCGCAGACACCGACGTTGGTGATACCCTCGAACGCGCCTGCTCCTCCCGCGCGACCTGCAACACCATCTTCTGGGAGGACATCGAAAAGAGGCTGGGCGCCAGGGAAACATGACAGACACAAGATTGACGATGGCTCCGCCCATCGGAAAGCCTGGATTGCTGGGCTACGGGAATACGTCCCTTACGATCTAGCCCCATTACTCGGCGGGGAGAAGGTGATTCCATACTTCTCTCCCGAACTAGATTCTTGCTAATCAGGACTCAGGTACCCGAGCTTTGGAACGAGCGTGGGGATACCTTAATCTACCTCTACCCACCAACTTCGCAGCGTGGCCCGTGTTTCAGGGTTGAATCTGCCCTTTTGGCCGACTCGAGTACTCTTGTCAGCCTTCGAATGCACTCCCCCACATCTCCGGCGGACAACAACAACGACATAGAACTGACTCAGTCGGCCTTCTCAGATGCGATGTTGAATCCTCGACAAGGGCGGCCGCCCTCTCAGTATTCCCAGGCCAGCTCCACCTACCGTCCCGCCCCAAATTTCTCGGTTCCAAACTTGGTCACTGTCAGTGAGGAGAAACATCTGTATCTGCCTCTAGGATTTGACCGAGACATGTCACAACCTGAATCTGAACCTCATGATGATGACCTTGAGCTTGTCGTCTTGTATCGTAATTTCTTCGCCTTCCTGACCGGCGGTGCGTTGGTGGCAACCCCTAGACAAGTTACACTGTTCTCTGTTTTTATAGGAATCAGTACGATACTCAAGCGATTCTGTTTCAGCAACTCCGATGGTTCGACATTCGGCGATGTACCGTCGAACAGCTTCTCTCGCTATTGCGACGAACTGAGGCTCGCAGACGTGCGATCTAGCCGCGAAAAAACGGTAGAAGCGATCGTCCTGGGTGAGCAGTTGAGATATTGGCCTCTCTACAATGAAGGTTTTGCACACGCTGTAGGGCGATTAGTGGACATCAAGTCTATCAATAGCCCCAAATATGAAAAGATGTCGCCCATCACGATCAACCGGCTGGAACGGGCACACCTCGACATCGAGCAAAGACTGTTAGCCGTCAGGAGCAAGCTCGAAGATTTTGACTTCCCTTCAATGTTCGCGGGAATTGCGAACTCCCAAACTTCCACCGAGGCCAAACTTGTCCGGTTCAAGGAATGGAAAACTGGATTCTTGGACTTCAGACGATTCACGTTGGCTTTCTACCGGCGTAAATATGGAGCCTGGCCACCCAAAGCGTCCTCGAAGAAGAATAATTTTGAGGAGAGCGGGCTCAACCGTCTCCTGCTGAAGGAGCTTTACAAAGATTTCACAGACCTGTATGATGTCCTGGTGGATCGCACAGCAATTACAACACGAACGGTTGATATGCTTCCCATGGACGACGACGCCGAAACAAACGACCAGAACGAAACGATTCAGCATGCGATTCGCCGGGTGGAGAGTGAGTACGATCGAGCCACGCCTCCTGTCGTACCACCCATTCCATTCGACACGCCGTTGATTCCCCAGTTTTCGCACAGTTTCAACCGCAGGCACGTTGAAATCGTGTCAGACCAACCAGCACTGCAGAGCAAGAAATTAAAGGAGAATGAGGTGAACGAAGTGTTGTTAGGTTCCTACAATCGCGAGTCCATTGCCGCGAGCCCCTGGATCCAGGACTTCTTCAACTATGAACGTCGTCTAGGGAATGGCAAGACCCTTGAACAGATTGTCGATGCCAGGTGCGGGCAGTGGCTGTTCATGTACGCCGTTCTCCAAGCTCTTCCGATGACTGTGGTTGACGCCAGGGATCTCAAGCATACGGAAGGGGTCGAATATTTCTTGTGCGTCGGCCCGAGGGGCGGCAGACCATGGATGAAGGAGGATCAATCAGTATCCCGAGCTTGGTACAATGTTGCCAGTGGTGGCGGTGTTGTCAGCCTTCCCGCTGACCTAATCGACCACAGTGTGGAAGGGATCTACCGGCGCAGTCACTGCTGGACAGAGGCTACCAAATGGGCGCAGTCTCCCCTGAACGGGGTAGTATTCCAAACAGACGCCCCTACTTTCCAGCCTATGAACCATACTGGCCTTCAAAAGGATTATTTGAGTCCTGGACAACAGTCTCCATATGCTAGTCCGCTTTCATCGCCCCTCATGAGACCCATCTCTCCCGCTATGTCCAGTGACATCCACAGCAGCAGAGATAGGAGCTCGGTCAATCTTGGACTGGAGGCCTTGGATGCACCACCTCCACAGCAAAAGTCACGACCTACCTCCACACTTAATCCGAACGTCACTTTTGATGCAATTTTGGGTACTACCGACAGACCGAAGACCAAAACCAAGAAGGGAAAGAAATGATTGCATTGTCTAGGGCGTGATTTTGCATAGCGCAACCGCGGGGTTCATACGACAGGCTTGTTTGAGATCATCTGAGCTGGCTCGGGACTGGAGAAGAATTCTGTCCCTGACTTGTCTGAGCTCAGGCGCCCTTTGTTCTTGTGCACAACTGTACTGATATGAGCAACGCACGAATAAGCTGTACTCCCCCGGCCCCTCTGCCTACTTTCGAATTGGATATACATTAATTGTTGAATGGAATGGATTTGATGTTGAATAAATGGCGGATTAGACGAGATGGAGGCAGTACAACCTACGACTGTCCTCGTTCCAGCCACCAAAATTCCGGTGGGATTAGATTTATCTCCTCGGATGTCCCCAGGGCATGGATATCCTAAGGGTAGTAATATTTGACCCTAAACAAACAAGTTGTGCCTGCTCAAGGAGGTGACATTTTTCACCCGCGGTCTGCAGACCCTCATGAGGACCACTTGTCCATGGGAGCGAGGAGGCCGAGGGTGGCTTGAGTCCTGGGTTCTCATCACCCATTCCTGGACATTTGCATTCAGGCGTTAATTAAGCCCGGCTTTCCCATTCCTTCCAAATAGCGCGTCAGCTGTAGGCATATTTCCAAGATAGCGGGCTGCCCAAGCATTGAAAGTCATAGTTTGACATCCAGGTATGTATATGTCCAGTGACCACGATATCTTGGGCACCTCCGATTGTAGAGAGCCATCTCGTCAAATTTATACTGTGTTTGAGGCCAAGGCTGCAAGAGCTGGTGAGGTAGTATGACAAGGCTGACATGGCCCAAACAGGAAGTTGAGCCGACGCCGAGCTCTGCTGCGCGGCCTGGGAGGGAGATTCCAGTTCAACAAACAAGGCGCGTGCGAACTTCATCACTCTTCAATTGGCACCAATTCTCAAGACACTGAACGCCGGCAGCACTCGTTGATTAATTCACCGAGCCGAGGGAGTGGCAGAACAAGAAAACTCCTGGGCGCAGCTTTCAAAATGTCCCATTGACACTCACTCACGCTCCCGCGATCTCCGTGCCGATAGAGCCCTGTAGGAGAGAGAAATTGCCCTTCCACAATGTCTCGCACACCGTCTCCGCCGCCCAAAACTTCAATCGATCGGCAAACGACGACGCCCTTCCTCCTAAACTTTTGCTACCGATCGTCCGCGTTCCACAGTCTGACGGACTTCCCTGTCCCGACCCCTTCGAACACTCGACCCCGCCTTCCCGCCCATCTGCAGATCTACACATGGATGAACTGCACCCTCCGAGAGCTGGCGCATCTGTTGACCCAGGCTCTTCCTAATATTTTGCCCGAACCGAGCATTGGCACGCGACTGAGCTTCCGGCTCGTCTACCCAGATCTTCATGCCAGCCGCGGCGGCGGAGGTCGGCTAGAGACCGAAGGGCGAGCGCGGTATTTGACCAAAGAGATAGGAAGCGTAGTCGTCTCGACGGCAGACTCTGAACATGCCAATGGAGAAGGCAGCGTGCCCGGAATCAGGCTTGAAGGCGACGATGCAGACAAAACCCTTGAAGATGCAAGGTTCGTCATTGGCGATTTCATCGATTGTGCTGTGTTTCCACCACTCAGTGATGGGACTGTTGTGAGTAGAGGAAGCGTCAGTGGTAGAGGCGGCGGAGGTGCAGGCCTGGCTGGTGCGAGGGAGAATGGCTATGGGCGAGTAAGAGGGGGTGGGTATGGATTGGGCAGAGGCAGCAGTCATAATGGGTATGGCGGCCCTCGAGGGGAAAACTTTGGAGCCCAGGTTAGCATACCTAGTGGAGAGTGGAGGAGAGGGGAGAGACTACCGGACCAGGGATTCCGGGGCGGAAGAGGAGGGAGAAGAGCATTTTGAAGGGGTATCTAAGACGCAGTGCTCTGCCTCAGCGGAACAGGTTTAGGACCTACGAGGCAACTGAACTGTCTATGAGCTGCACAGCTCTACATGGCATCTTGCATCCTGTGTCCAAACGGCCAATCAGGCGTCTTTTTGCAGGAAATCCCTACCCGTAAGGGGCACGAGGTTACCCACGAAGAGCGGAGGTCATGCTTCGAATGAATATCGGGTCGACTTCAGAGAATGACTCAGAGAGCGAGCTATATCCACACCTCATGATCACCCTCTTAAGCGGAGCCAACGGGGAGAAGACTTTTCATCGGATCACAGGTGTTCGAGCTGAGATGCCGTCTTGGACCAACGGGAAGCGATGAAGTTCAAGCTTGGATTGCGCTCATAGAGCATGTTGTCAGGGGACGTGGAAGATCCAGACAGGAGATCAGGGTTCTGGACGACAGCATAAGCAAGTTAAGGGGTACTATTGTCCCCGTGAAGATACAGGAAATAAAATGGACATGTGCAGGCCGACGGTCGCCGTCTCTTCATGAGCGAGAGAAAACAGAGCCGCGAAACCTATAAGTTGAGTCGGTCCTTGGTGGTCGACGTGTCATCCGATCGCCTACGATGGATGTAGAGGAACAGTCAGTACAGGGTCAGGTCGTGCAATCCACAGGCGGCTCGGGCAGCAATAAAATTGCCTATAGCAGCCTCGGACACACGTCCCGGTGCTCTCCCCCACGGGGCCCCTGGCAGCTGCTGAGGAAGGACAGCCTGGTGCGCTCCCCATATCAAGAACGTGCCCCTCGCTTCTCGGCAGCCATACAGAAAGAGTTTACTTCTTCTGGCTCCCAAACCATTCAATTGAATGGCTCACTTTACACCTTTGATTTCCAGCTCGTTGTTGTACAGAGTATTGTTAGGTACCTCTTTGCGATCTATGAGATAGACTGTCAGGTCAGGTCTGTTGTCTGTTCGGCCGTCACACACCAGACACCAGGATCACGTGCAGATAACCATTCCGCCCCTGACGTCAGTGGTGGCTTGACATCACCAACATTAGTGACATTATTATTCCCCGGGCGTGCTACAAGTACGGAGTAACAGACTAGGTAGGTGACAGACACGTAACTTGTAAGCCCGCAGGGTCGCAAGGTCGCGTTAGGGGCGTCACTAGGAGCATGCCGCCCGAACTGCCTGGCGTGTGTTGGCGGCACTTCCCCGGGTTTCTGCCCAACTGATTCCCACTAATAAGGGCAAGGGCCGGCTATTCTACCTTAGTTATTATTAGCTCTCTACTCCTCCGACCGATCTTCGTGGCTTTGGGCTTTGTCTCTCATCCCACTTCACTGTTGCTGGCCTTCCTGCTTCCTGTCAACAACTTTAACTTGTCCACCCACGTCCCACGCTCCCTCAACCTTTTTTCTTCTTCCAGTGGCCGATATAGATTTCTCCCTGGGTCTCTCCTTGCCTTACCACTCTCACAGCGTCAACCTTCACCCGTCAACTTGAAGTTCACAACCGTCAACATGCCCCAGGTCAGTCGTCTCACTTGCTGCTTACCGTGCACTATCTCAACCCCTCCTTGACTGAAAAAAACCTCCCTGTTCACCGCCACTGGACCCAACTCGCTCAACCTCAGCCCTGGCCGTAGTTGAACTGATCCATGTCTGTGAATTTAGGTCAAGTACGTTCTCCTTGACTGCGACAATACCCTCGTCCTCTCCGAGCGTCTCGCCTTCGAAGCCTGTGCCGATCTCACCAACCAGCTGCTCGAAGAATATGGCATCAAGGACCGCTACACCGTCGACTCGCTCCTCAAAGACTTCGTTGGTCAGAACTTCCGTGGGATGTTGGTGGGACTGCAGAAGAAACACAATTTCCAAATGCCTCCGGAGCAACTAGATGACTACGTTGGTCGGGAGCTGGCCGCGGTCACCGCCAAACTTTCCGCGAAGGCTGAACCCTGCCCCGGTGTCCCTGAGCAGTTGGAACGCCTCAGCCAAGCGGGCTACCCCATGGCCGTTGTCAGCACCTCTGCTAAACCTCGCGTCGTAGCATCACTGAAGAAGGTCGGCATCGACAAGTACTTCCCCGACGAACATGTCTACAGTGCCGCCACCTCACTCAACCCACCGTCCAGCAAACCCGATCCCAAGATCTACCTGTACGCCTGTGAGCAACTGGGTGTCAAGCCGGCCGAATGCGTCACGGTCGAAGACAGCAAGAGTGGTGCCACGGCGGCCATGCGTGCTGGTATCCCCCTTATCGCCTACGTTGGGGTCTATGGTATCGAAGAAGGCAAAGAGAAAATGGAGCAAATGGCCAAGCTTCTCACCGAGACATGCAATGCCGACGCCGTCATGTATGACTGGAAGGAGTTTCCCGAGATTTTGAAGAAGCTCGAGTCCAAACTTTAGATCGAAACGGGTCCATTGCATGGTGCGAATATGACGGCTCATGGGTCGATGAAGCAAGGGAGCATCACGACTTGACACGATGGTTCCTGCAATGATTTTCCTAAAAGAAACGGGGGGTGGGAAGGCACCCAAAAACAGTCTCTACTGGTATGGTTGCCCGTCCCATGCCACCGAGCTAGATTCAACACTCGAGGGGTGTTAGACCTTAGGTCAGAGTTGAAATAGAATTTCCGACTCAGACAAGCCCCGAGTCTCTAGTAGTGTCACGCTGTCCTAATGCTTGTCCCCCCTGGCCACCGCCACTAACCGGCCCAACATCTCTCGCATGACATATTTCTCCCCTTCATAGTCCATGTCGAACCAGTAGTTGACCGCTATACAGGGCGCCACCCGGCCGTCTTTCCAGACCCCACATTCCTGCCTGACGTGGTGGAACCAGCCAGCAGGCAGATATAAAATCTCCCCTGCTGATACCGTGACGGTGAGGGGGTGCGAATGGCGATAATAGGGATATCGCGAAGCCAGTCTGTCCGGCGGAGGCAAGTGCAGCGGGTCGATAGGGATCCAAGGGATACGGCGGTCGGAGACGGAGGCGGAGTCGGAGTGAGAGTCAGAGTGAGAGGCGGAGGTGGATTGAGAGTCGGAGGTGGATTGAGAGTCAGAGTCGGGGCCAACCTCTGAGAGCGGTGACGGTGACGAGGGCGTGTCCAGCACGATTTTGAACGAGGGAGGTGAGCTGCTGCAGTCATAAACGTGATGGGCGGTGCGAACCTTTTTGGCTGTGCTCACGGACATGCATACACGTCAGTCACAGTCACGACGTATTCTGATACTGGGACAAGAACTCGAACTCGAACTCGAACTCGAACATGGCGCAACACTGGGGTCGGGGGCCAGGGGGCAGGGGCAGACACGGAGGATATTCCAAGCAGACTTTGAGAGGGGCGAGTGCGAGTGCGAATGCGAGTGCGAATGCGAACGAGGGCGAACGCGAATGAGAATGAGAATGAGGGCTACCCCGACTCACCATGCAGACACAGCTCTTCACAAGGCGCCCAGAGAGTGAAGTGCTTCCGGCCCCTCAGCACGAGATAGAGGTTCTCATAGGGGTCACGATGGGTGCTGGTGACGGAGAGAGCGTTGCCCATCCAGATGTTGACGGCGTCCGGTTCGCCCAAAACAGGCGTGGCGAAGGGGATCTGGGGCGGGACATCGGCAAGCAAAGCCGAGAGAGCTGTGGTGGTCAGGTTGCTGTTTTGGGATTGTAGATAGTATACTGGCTCTTGCTCTTCTGACGGAAGGGGGTGAGAGTAGGGCTCTTCTTCTGACGATAGGGGTTGAGAGTAGGGCTTAGGCTCTCCGGGGCTTGGTGTTGATGATGATGGTGGTGCTGGTGGCTGCTGTGGCGGGCAGATCTTCTCGAGGAGTGAGGAAAGGGGCATCGAAATGGTCGCGGGCTGGACAAAGACCTCTTCGTGTCCTTGTCCGTGCTCGTCCTCTGCTTCCTGGTCGGTATTGTCATCGTCTTCGTCTTCAGACGACTTACGGTGGCGGTATGGATAGAGAGAATCAGCCCGGCCGTCCGGGGTCACGGCTACTTCGACATCTCCCTTCACCTTCTCACACAGTTCCTCCTTGGTCCAGGAGAAGGCAGGGCATGCGAGGATCGCCTCGGCTTGTTGCTTCAAATTCAAATTCAGGTTGGTCTCTTGTTGTGTCAAGTTCAGGCCGGTCTCTTGTTGTGTCTGCAGAGACTGTAGTCGGTACACACACGGCCGCCCTCGACTGACTTGCTGGCTGAACTCTACCGCGGTGGGATAGGGGACGACCTCGACGCCACCGGGGTTGAAGGCGTGGTAGTCTTCTATCAATTGAAGGAGTGTCGATACAGCTGCTGCACTGGTTAGATTTGAATTTGGATTTGACTCGTCCAAGGTTGTCGTCGTCGTCGTCGTCATTGGGCCCGATCAAAGAAGCGAGGCTGGCACCATTAAACCGCCTCGAGGGGACGGGAAAGGGCCAGGTCCAGCATCGCACATTGCACATCGCAATATAGACGATGACTCAGCAGTACCAGCCCGCACGGCGATGTCACATGCCATCACATGACTTGGCGTTGTCTTTCCCCGCAATCGCCGTGCAGCAGCAAGCCTCAGGTCCATCGCTTAAGGACCCATCAGTTACAATGTTCAGCTTTCTCCATCACACCAATCCAGCTGACCATCCATGGCTGCAGAGGTCGAGGCTGACCAGAGACATTCATTCAGCACTTCAAGCCCTTTGGTGCTGCGGAACCTCGGGCTATGCAGTAGGCTTGGGCTATGATTCCTGACAATGTAGGTAGATACACAGCTACTAAAGTCGAAATGGTAGTGCCGAGCACGCTGGCTTTTGTTCTGCTAATTATGTTCTGCTAACAAGTCTCGCGTGTTCAGACCCTGTCTTTGAGAATATCTCATGCCCAGATTGATCAAATCCTCCGGGCCTGCCTCAGCCGTATTCGAACTCGAGGACTGCGGCCAGTCACTAAGGCCTAGGATTCGCAGGGGTTATTCCGTCTGCACCAAATATCAACCAGCTCTGTACGTCAAGAGGAGTAGAAAAACAAGTGGCGAGCATGGATAATACAGAGTTCCAAAGACAAACTGGACGTTGGATTTGCAAAGATAGGTCGCAGCATCGCCGGTCGGCAAGTCCCTCACATATCACCTTCAACTTTGCAGGGTATGATCCCGTATTTCAGGACCGCACGACATTACTCTGCGACTTTGCACGACCTCTGGAATTTCGGAACTCTTTTCTCGACCGGATGCCGACGAGGTAATCCTGTTGATGTCAATGGCCGAGCAAACACACATGAAGCTGATCGCCGTCCCTGCGGCCGTTCAAGACGGGACGCAGGATGACTGTTGGTGGAACCTAGCCCAAGCTATTGCCGACGACCATTCTCACTGTGACAACTGTCTTTGATACATACTCCAAACACGGTCATCCAACGGCGGCCAAGGCTGAACACATTCGTAAGGTCGAGACTTGAGACTCGTCATAGGAGACAACCGGATGAGTGGGAAAGCACGCACAACCGCGCAATTTGCGCTACTCACTGCGAACCTTGGAGATAATTCTCCAAGTAGGATCTTCGCAAGCGACATCTCCTATGACATGCTCGATATCCTGTTGGATTGGATGGGAGAATTAGTAGCTTGACTCAGGTTCCTGGCGGCCGATAGCTCCAATTCTGGTTCCAGCCGGACGAGTATGGGAATGGGAACTCCTGCCCTGAGCCAACCACGAGAACCGGGCCTGGCGTGCTCTTGCACAATCAATTAGAATGGACCGGTCCGGTCCGGTTTGGCACGGCTGTCCAATGTCCAGTTCTGTGATCCTGGATCGTTTGTAGCGTCAAAAGTCGAGACAACAAACTTGGGTGGTCTCGACGCCAGTGGTTGAGGCTCATGCCACGCCACGGATCCGCAGATACACATCAAGGAGAAAGGTCAGTTTGCAGAGACGATGGATGCCAGGTACTCCTACTCGTACTGCATCACGTCCGACCGATGCTGTTGGAGGTCGCATACAAGCAGGCCGTGTCTGTGCACAGTGCACAGTGCAAAGTGCACAGTGTGGGTTCTGGAAGAAATGAGAAATGCGCCGAAGATGAAAGAGAGCTCGATGGCTCCACCCCCTGGAGGGATGTCAGGCTTAGGAGGCCCGTCCCCCTGTTCGGTGCCTGTCCGTGTCACCAGCAGAAACCGCTGTGCTATCAGCCACCAAGTCAGGTGCTCTCACCACTATCGGCCGAGCCTGCTTACAAAATCATCAATAATACATCCACTTGGGCGCGGAATTCCTTCCAGCCTCGTCCCTTACCCCTTCCACGGCTTTCTATAGCATCTGGCACCTGGCTCCTGCCTTTGTCGTGCTTGTCGCGTCCCGCTTGCACCATTCCATTCCTGTTTCCTGTTGGCAGTTCAGCGGTCACAAACAGAAGCTACCGAGTTACATCCAGGGTCAAGCATGCGTGTTTCAAGTGCCCCTCTTCGGTATATAACCAGCCGCCGGGCTCCAGCTGCAGCTCCAGCTCACGCTTTCACCTCAACCTCACCATTAACATCCCGCCGAGCTACTACAAGCTTCTTCAACTATTCGACCATCCCAGCCACACTCCCTGCCCGCTCTCGCCAGTACACATCCACGCCCGTCAACATGTCGTCGCAGGCCTATCTCGACGCTGTCAAGGCTCGCCGCTCCTACTATGTCTTGAAGCACGAATCGACCATCCCCGACGCCAAGATCCATGAGATCGTCAAGGAAACCATCCTGAACGTGCCCAGCTCCTTCAACTCGCAGTCGACACGCCTGGTGGTGCTGTTGGGCGACGAGCACACTTACCTATGGGATCAGATCGCGAAGCCGGCCGTCAAGGCTGTGGCGCCTCCCGAAGTCTGGGGCCAGTCTGAACCACGCCTGGATGGCTTCAAGAACGCCTACGGCACCATCCTGTTCTACGAAGAGCCCAAGGACGTGGCGAAGCTGCAGGAGGCCTTCCCGCTGTACGCCGACAACTTCCCTCAGTGGAGCGAGCACACCAACGCCATTCATCAGCATGTGTGTAAGTACACGCCGACTAGCCCTGAGATGAGATGAGGAGACACGAGTACTGACAAAATCCCTAATCTAGTATGGACCGCTCTCGAGGCAGAAGGACTGGGAGCCAACCTGCAGCATTACAGCAACTTGATTGAGGAGAAGGTGGCCGCCAAATGGAATGTTCCTGGCCACTGGAGCCTCAAGGCCCAACTGGTCTTCGGCACCCCGGCGGCGAAGCCTGGTGAGAAGACGGCCAAGCCGGTCGAGGAGCGTGTCTTTGTGTACGGAGCGAAGAACTAGACTCGAACTACAACTCGAACTCGCACTCGAACTCCAGAGTCGAAGCGTCACTCGAACTCTCAACCAAACTCCAGAGTCGAAGCCTCACTCTCACTCTAGACCTAGAAGCGGTTGTTGACCGATCCCAGGGAGGGAGGAGAATGTTGTAGACTGATAGACCAGGCAATCAATCGAGCAAGAATTTCACTTGACCAATATTGGTCAATGCCGTCTTGTGTTTCCGTCATTGTTGTCTCGTAGTATGATGTGCCAGCTCTGGGAGATTGCGCCATCTGGCAATGTTCTCGCAAAGCCAAAGCCACACGGTTCACATACTTACTGTACGGAGTACTCGTTGTATCTGTCCTCCGTACGGATACAAGTACAATTGATTCGGCCCCTCCTGACTCGCCAGGGCATACACCGGTCCCGATCCGGTCAGCCTGAACCTGAGCCTGAGCCCCAGGCCTTACATATGCCCCTGATTCCCCAGAGCGTCGGCAACGAGATTTATACTGCACTAGTACTACGGAGCTGGCAGGCCCTAAGCCCCTCCTCCTCCGCTCATGACGGCTAGATCATAATATTAAATCATAATTGATCTCAGCGTACAGATAATCTGGGGTGGAAATGTCATTAATTGCTTTTTACACCACTATCACTACTACATGCATGATCCCGTCATATCCCCTGCTCAGCTCAGTTCAGTTCAGTTCAGTCAACTCGACCGTCGTTGATATTTCCTGCCGTCCAACTTCTCAGTTTCAACTTCTTGTTCTTCGATACCCGCAGCCACAGACGTGCTTTCGGTTGTCTCTCGTATACGACACGATTCACGGATTCTTAAAACCACCATGCGAACGCGAACGCAAACGAGACCGATACCGAGCTGACACTGATAGTGACACTGGCACTGATACTGGCACTCGGCTGAGAAGTACCTATACGCATATATGCTAATCAGTACGGATATATTGTACCTTTGATCTTGTCGGTCAGCCAGAGTTCGCCAATCAATATCAATAAATATAAGGCTTCTTCCTAATCATCGGCTCCGAGGTACTACAGCTACCACAGCTACAGCTACAGCCACTACAGCACCACAGCTACAGCTACATCTACAACTACTACATCTACTACAAGTACAGCTACACCTACAGCTACAACTACACCTACACAACACCTACACAACACCTACCACAATGCCCCCTACCGGCCTTCTCGACTCCTTCCTCGCCGCCATCCAAGCCAGTCTCAGCGTGCTGCTGGTCATCTTCTACGGCGGCGTCGCAGCACACCTCAAGCTGCTCAACCAGGCCAACAGCAAGGCCATCTCCAAGATCTGCGTGCGCATGTTCCTGCCCGCGCTGCTGATCGTCAAGATCGGGTCGGAGCTGCACCCGGGGTCGGCGCAACGCTACCTGATCATCTTCGTCTGGGCCATTCTCTGCCATCTGGTGTCGTTCGTGCTGGGCATCGTGGCCCATCTGTGGCTGGCCATGCCCGACTGGACCACCGTCGCCCTCATGTTCAACAACACCACCAGCTACCCGCTGCTGCTGATCGCCGCCCTCGACGAGACCGGCATCCTGCGCTCGTTGATCGTGACCGACGAAACCACCCGAGCCGCGGTCGAGCGGGCCAAATCGTACTTTTTGGTCTTTGCCACCGTTTCCAGCTGTTTGACTTTTGCCGTCGGTCCGCGTCTGATCGATTCCGAGCATGCGCCGGACCCGGAGGACGAGGATGAGGACAAGGAGGAGAAAGATGAGGACGAAGATGAAGACGAAGGCAACGATGCCGCTTCTGCTTCTGGTCCCGACGACGGCCCGTCCGAACATACAGGTCTGCTCGACCGGCGCGCATCGCTCGTCCCCTTTGGCCAACAGAACCAGTTTTTCCCGTCGGTTCGACGCCCGTCGACACACCCGCAGGGGCGTCGGCGGACGTCTTTATTTGCCCAGAACCAGAACCTGAACCTGGACCTGACGCGTCGAGCGTCCATCGTGCCGCGCAAGCGTTGGGTCCGTCTCGGCCCACGCACCAAATGGTGGCTCCTGTTCATCTCGGACTTTTTCAACGCGCCGCTCCTGGGCGCCATCATCGGCACCGTCATCGGCCTGGTCACGCCGCTGCACCGGGCCTTCTTCAACGACACCGAAGACGGCGGCATCTTCACCGCCTGGCTGACCTCGTCGCTCGACAATATCGGCGGCCTGTTCGTGCCGCTGCCCGTCCTGGTCGCAGGCGTGTCGCTGTATACTTCGATGCGGGAGGTTCGGAGAAAAGCCATTGCGAGGCGCAGGAAAAAGAGCGCCTCACCACCGGACGATGCTGGCACGGTGGAAGGTCGTCACGGTCATGGCAATGCCGACTCCGCCTCCAGCTCTACTTCTAGTACGGCAGCAGGCAAGGCCAAAGCCAACACCAACACCAACACCAACGAAGACACAGACACAGACGCAGATCCATCCCCCAACACGTCAGAACTCCCCTGGCTCACCGTCGTCTATATCCTCGTCATCCGCTTCATCGTGTGGCCTGTGGCCTCGATCGCGTTGATTCACGCCCTCGCGTCCAAGACCACCCTTCTCGGCCCGGATCCCATGCTCTGGTTCGCCATGATGTTGATGCCGACCGGCCCGCCGGCCATGAAGTTGATCACGCTGGTTCAAGTCAGTGATGGCGATGAGGCGGACGAGATGAATATTGCAAAGTTGCTTACGGTGAGTTTGGAGAGTCTCCCCCGAGTCTGCACTGCTACTGGTACTGGTACTGGTACTGCTATGCTACTGCTATGCTGCTGCTATGCTACTCCTCCTGTCGTTGGTATTGTCACTGTCACGGTCACGGTCACTATCACCGTCACTACCGTTGTGCTGCCATTACCATTGCCATTGCCATCGCCATCGTGTTTTACCTTTGACGTACTGTGTACTGCGTACTGCGTATTGCATGTTGCGTATCGCCTTTGTCTTTTTCCGGTTGGAGACCAAGCACAAGCACAAGCCCAAACCCAAGCCCAAACAAAGCACAAGCCCAAGCACTCAGTGCCGACGACGGTCCGAAATCCCCAGCCCAGTGTGGCCTCGGGCCTCACACCAAATCCCCAGACACGATGCTCTCCGCCAAGATGGTCGTATACGATATCGCGAACTCGTGATAGTGGGAGAACAGCAACAGCAACACCAACACCAACACCAGCACCAACACCAGCACCAGCACCAACACCAGCAATCTCAGGACCAGTCCAGGACTCGACTCTACCCTTGCCCACATGTACCAAACTACCTTACCTGCCTTGGCCATTTGACCTGTCTTACGTATTTTGTTAGCCCACCCACCTACCACCTACCACCTACCACTCATTGTCCATCCGGGATCACTTACTCTTACTCTCACTTATCTACCAAACCACCGATTTATCTATCCTTCTTGGCTCCCGCGTACCATATGCCTGTGCCTGTGCCAGAACAAACCAAAACAAAACAAAACATATACTGATATGATGGCCCATGGTCTTCGCAGATCTCTTATCTAGTATCGCCCATTCTGTCCATCACCGTCGTGGGCGGACTGCGCGCAAGTCAGGCGGTTATTGGAGGATAAGGGATGAGGGATGAGGAAATGACGATGACGAGGACGATGAGGATGACAATGAGGATGACAATGAGGATGACAATGAGAAGGGGGATGAGGATGATGATGACGAGGAGGAGCACCACCGTCTAGAGTATGTTATGATTCGGACGATATATTGATATATATCAAGCAATCATCTCTAGGTATCTCTGTACGGATATATCTATCTGATCTTGGGCTTGATACACACAATAGACGGTCTATAGTCTACCTACCTACCTAATGCTACACTTGTACACACGTGTATGTATGTACCAAGTAGATATAGAAACGACACATGTATGTAGATATGGAAACGACACAAACACTATATATATATAAAACGCCATACATCGCATAGGCAGTACAGTCTACAGTCTACAGTCTACAGTCTACCTACTTATACTATACTTATACACACATGTACTGTATACTGACAGTTATGTAGATATAGAAACGACGAAAAAATATGGACAATGCTATAAAACAATCAACAGAATCAGTCGAGTCCAGTATACTTCAGTGACCGATCGTAGCCATCAAACATCAAATGCCAGAGCAAGACAGGGACAGCCGGACCCCTGCCTCGACTGTGTCTTGACTGTGTCGCGGCAGACCGAGAGGCTCGACGCCCCCAGCTCTGCTCTGCGTGCTGGGGCACACTGAAGCGGAACATGCACACATTTACGTAGATATAGAAACAACACACATGTACGGAGGAAGAAACAACACACATGTACCGAGTATGTGGATATAGAACGACACAAACACTACATATATCTGAACACTATCCCTGGTACAGGACAGAGACGTAGTCATATAGATACAGCCAACAACAACTCAGTGGAACTAGTGGGCTCGGGGCTCAGGGCTCAGGGCTCAGGGCTCAGGGCTCAAGAACATCGCGACAAAGTCATATATCTAAGATCACTGGTAGAATATAGATCATAGATTGATCCGCGAGGACGAGACCTGACATCGCAGTTCACAGTGGTCATGATCATGTCATCATTCATTGTTTTAGCCCGGGCCATTCGTTCCCATATCCATATTCGTCCCGTTTGGTATTGCCTTTCTGGTAGTGGTGCTTGTTCGGCCAGTTTCTGTCAGGTACGACCATCCAGTCCATCAACATAACTCGTTGAATCTACGTACGTGTCATTCCCTCGATTCCAACATTCCAATCCCAGTGCCAGGCGCATCTATATCCCGATTGTCCAGGGAAATTCAAACATCATATCCTCTCCTCAAAGAAAGTCCCACATGTTCTTGTCATCAGATACATCCAAGTTGGCCATCGATCCTAATACTTTGATGCATCGCAAGCAACCCGTCGGATGTCAACCGCAGAATCGTCAATTTCGCCTCTCCAGAAGTACCATAGTACCCCTCATCAAGGGAATCAGAGAGGTCTTCACAGTCTTATCATCAGAGACTTCACAGTCTTATAGCTCTCTCTTGGGTGGATTGACACTCGCATTCCCCCCTCCTACAGTGACAGTAAACAGCAGAGGATCCCCCGCGTGCACTTCGCCACTCTGGTCCGCACCGCCTGATGGCTGTACATCGTCGTAAGGGAAGGCATAGCCTCTCCCATCCAGATTGGCTTGATGCACGATCCGCGAATAATGGTTCGTGGTTGGGTCCTGGTAGTACGAGCTCAGTGGCGCGGGCGAAGTATTCGAGACGAGCAGGGTAGACCGATTGAACGCCGCGGCTAGGCGAGGGATAATTGCATTCGTCTCGGCATTGGCCCCCGTGGCGAACGGGCCGGTCGAACACGTGAAAATGTCCCGCGTCGAGGGTTTCGCAAAGCTTGAGTTACCGATGGCCAGAGTGCCCGACGACACTTTCGCAGACACGGTCCCGAACGAGGCCTGCGTGTCAATGGACAACGACTGCGTGGTGAATCGGCTCCAGACCTGGTTCACATAGTTGTCGTAGTAGCCTGCAAACAGGTTTGGGTTCGTCACCATGCCTTGGTTCGGCGAGAGAGCGCGAAGGTTGCGTCCGTTGTGTGACACGACCAGTTGGTCCCAGCCTTGACCGTCTGCCGCATGCTGAGAGCGCAGGCCGTTACAGACTTGGTCGAGGCCGTTGGTCGGCATCCCTGACACATGCTGCGTGGCGCCGCTCTGAGTCGTTAGCGTCAGAGCAACGGGTGGGCCGACAAAGTCGACGTAGCTGATGTTGGCATAGAGCTGGTCGCTGTTGAAGGTGAATTCCGCAAACCCCCAATTGAGGTTGATGTTGGGGTCGGAATAGTTGGTCACCGACGGCTCTACTAGCGCAGGACCTGGGTTGAGGAGAAAGGTCAAAGGTGCATCAATCGAGAACCAGATCCGGCCGCCAGCGATATGAGGAATCGTCGCAGTCACGGTATTGCCCGGGGGTCCAAGGACAATGGCACAATTTTGCTGGATGCTGCCTCCCACGGCACTGGGAGACGTGGGGTAGTATGGCGTCCTCCCGTCGGCCTGAAGTAGGAACAGCGCGTTGTTGTTATCGATCGCTTGACCGGTGATATAAGCATACACCGTGTTGGAGGTGGTCTGATTCTGCAATGCTATGTTCAAAGTTGACCCTGGTGAGTTCTGCGATGCGATGTTCAGAGTTGGCTGTTCGGTGCGAGGCGGACCGGCAGCGGCTGCTTGTGATTGAGGGGCTGAGACTGGAGCTTGAGCGGGAGCCGGGCCGCGAGTCTGGGGCTTGACTCGGTTCAAGAACCGATTGAGTCGCTTCATGATGGGCAAGTTTCACAATAAACAACTGAGGAGGGCGCAATGAATGCTGTGGTGAGCCTTGATACCGGACCGAAGGAAGCAGAGAGCAGGACACGACTTTTAGCTGTGTATTTCTTTTGTGCCCTAAGTTGTTCCCCCGCCAAGGTGGAGACGTCATCTCGATCATGATATCCAAACATGTGGTGGTGGTGGTTTCAGTTCTGATACATCGAGAACAAAGCGAAAGCCATCACACTTCAATCTGGTCTTCTGATGCTAATTTGTCCCTTGGAAAGTTTTGATGTCAAATGATGGGGTTGGATTTCGGTTTCAGGGGCTCTCGCCCTGTTACTCTGCAGCAAGGAAGCGGACAGGATCGTGGCACGACACGAACCGAGGTTGGTGGTACCAGATTGACAGGGTCGGGCCCCTGTCATTGGCTGCGTGCCTGACCAGAAGCCGGCGCGAATGATCAAGATTTAGTCGCCTGATTCTTGGTTGAAGCAAGCGGTGATCGAGAATCTAGAGGGATTGGTGGCCACCAGGAGCTGCTGACGTGGCCATCTGATGAGATGTCCGCGTATGCCTATGTCATGGAAGAGAGGTTGTAGGGCTTCTGCTGGGGCACAATCCAAGATCAAATGGTTATCGCGGTGGTGGTCCTGAAACAGTCTGTCGGATGCATCAGGGTAGGATGTCTGCCGTCAAAAAAGAGGTTGTTGATGTTCCCAAATCAAATCAGACCAAAAAAGTCCAGTAGCTGGGGAAGATGAACTCCTCCTCAAATATCTTACGGACCTGCTCGAGGACAAACTTTTCGACCTTACCGACATTTTTGAGCGCCTGTTTCCCGTCCACTTGTCGACCAATTTCACTTTCCACGCGAATTTCTTGTAGCGGGCCGGGAAAATTGCTCCTCGATCCATCTTTACCACCCTTCACGTCTTGCTGGTTTTCTCCCAAGCCAGCTCCGATCAGCGCAGTGGCATCCTCGGGGTCGAGAAAACAAAAATGCATTTTCCCCTTGATCCATGCCACTATGGCCACTCCGTCAAATGACATGCCGGTGATGGCCAACCTGACCGGAATGCCCACGAAACTAGGCATAGGGTAATCAAGGAGGATCTCCGCGGTCAATGTCATGCGCACGTCCCCGGAATATTTGACCCTCGCAACCACCTGCAGGTCCGTTGGCTGGCTGCTCTGGATATGTGAGGGCGAGGGCGAGGGCGATAGGGGGCGGACCTTATCAAGTACGGCCTCATCCATGTCGTGGCCATTTTCGTACCCACTATGCTGTAGCCGAGGTGAAGAGAGGCCAGATTCTGACTCACGCGGAGACGAGATGCTGTTTGCGGTGGATGGCCGGGTAGAGGGATCGTCATGAGCCGGAGGGTCTGGTGCCACATTTCTGTTTCTGGTTTTGCTTGATGTCTGCAGAGTCCCCCGCCCCGGCGCTGCGGTCAGGGTCGGGGTCGGGTCATACGACCACGGTCGCGGGGCGAATGGACTGCCACTGGCGACTGCTGCCAATGGGGTCTGACTTCCAGAAAGACCTGTGGTAGGAAAGTGAAAGTAGCTGAGGTTGGAGGTGCCTCCGGGGATGCCTGGAGTGGTGCTTCGGGGGAAAGAGGCCGCAGTAGGGTCCGCGCTTACAGCGACAACGTCCTTGGTGGTCGCAGAAGGCCGCCACTCATGACCGTCTCGACCGGTGAGGATGTTGCTCAGCTGTGGCCTACTATACGGTCGAGGGGAGGGGTGCGAATTGGTATTGGAAGGTTCGTAAGCTGCGGTGCCGGGACTATCGACAGATTCAGTAGTGGCTTGCTGCGCATCACCCTCGTCGCTGTCTTCCTCCTCGTCGTAGAAGTCGGGCAGCGGATCACAAACGTCTTTGATCTCGATGTCCGGACAGGCGGAGCCAAACTCGAACGAATGGACATGGACGGCATGGATGAATCGAGGCAAGGTTACCTGTTGGAACTTCTGGTCCACAAAGGCGCGAATTTTGTCTGCAAGAACAGCCCCGTCGGGACCCGAGGTGATGGTCTCCCATCCAATGTCGACAGACATGGCATAGTGTCTCTCGAGGGTGAGGACGCACGATAGGCAAGTCTTACGAGTCGACAGAGTTGCAAACATGCACAGACGGAGATGCAGAGGCAGAGCCTCGAGGTGTCGATGCCGTCACGTGGCTTGGCATTTCCAGGCTGCGTCCGACCATGATGCATGCCTCATACGGAGATAATACAATGACACAGCGCTGGCAGTAGTAGTGTGACTGTAGTATTAATTATCATACCAAATTATGCTGCGACCCACGGCTACTGAGTCTGGTATCTCGCTTCACTCCAGTACATCATCTCAGGAGCCTGAGTGTCATAGTCAAACGCAATAGATATGAAATCAAGCAAAGCAACAACATTCGCTCCCTGGCATCAAATTCAAATTTCCGCTCCCTGAGCTCGTCCAGATATCAAGATAGACTTCAACCTCCCCATAGTCCTACAATGTCATTGAAGGTATCGTGATCAGCCATTGACGCTTATGCTTTTTTCTTCAACATTGGATCGGGCGACCATCTGCAGAACGTGAGAACCATTTGCAAGTCAAGATAAGACTTTATCGACCTTGACGCCACGTGTTGCGTACTTTGGCTCTGCGAGGAATGATCAGGGCAGCGTCCATTCACTGGCTTGGTTGTGACACGTTGAACTTCGCAGCGAGGTGTTCCAATGTAGGCGCAGTTGTGGCGTGTAATCTTTGTACACCCACATTGAGTGAAGGTCGTAGTGAGAATGCGACACATTGTATCTCATGTCAAGTAGCCGCCAATGCCAACAAAGTACCACTGATCGTGAAAACAGAGCAACAGTCGTCCACGGCGCGGCGGGAGAGAGGCACAGGAGAAAATTTGTTACACAGTGAACTGCAACACAACAGGAATCGACTGGGTCGCGGAAGAATCATTCTTTTTGTAAGAGTATCTTCATCGTCGCAGTGCACTATTGCAATGTCCAGGAACGTTGGGGGCAGGTGGCTCACCATCCTTACCTGCTTCATTGTCTTTGTCCAATTCAGTCCATTGCCTCGTACCAGTTATCGACGTGATAGCCTTGGAGGCTCGTCCAACACCTGCAGGCAACCTCGAAGAACCACGGCTCGGACAAGGAAGGTGGTGTCGCGACCGTATGGCAGTCTCATCGGGTCCGATATGGTTGTGTCTCCACCAGGCTGTGCTGATGATCCGTGAAAACGACATGGCGGGTGGGAAACGTCTCTCACTGACAGAGCGCTCCCAAGCTCAGAGAGTCCAGACCACGGCTGAAAGGTGACAAGAGAGCACTGTCTCTTCGGCACAGGGTGCGACCACTGCTGGTCAGGCAATACGGTGCATCACGCAATGCTCACGGGATCCTCATGCAATGCGTTGTTCATGTGTAGCTTGAGGGAGTCGGGATTGTCCCAAGCAATCATAATAGGGAATTGTGCCAGGTAGACTATAATAACTTGCTCTTCATTCTCCAACATGAGGTCGGTTACCCGCATAGGATCCTTGGACGCTAGATGCGGCACGACGCCCCCTTGTTCGCCTGACCGTGTCAGAGTCGAGGACAGCACACCCACACTTTGACGACCAACACGCTTGCATCGGAGAGGGTTCGATAGATATAGGCGCACTGTCGGACCGATTGCCCAAAGAAGAGCAAGGCTGGCTGGGAGGACGGCCCCTTTTCGACATGTCGAAGCGCGACTGGATCTCGGCGCTGAACAAGGCCAGCACAAGCCCAAGCCCAAGCACAAGCCCAACGGGCACGCACTAGTACCAAACATGTTGACAGGGATGCAGGGTATTCAGGGATCCGAAGGAGTGAGAGAAGGAGGAGAAGAACGAAACGAGGTCGGAGCTTTTTCTGATATGCAACTCAGGCATTGTCTGTTCAAGCGAGGGTGAGTCTGTCTGGCGCAGGCGGGGTAGTTTTTCCGTCTATTTAGTCACGTGACCTCACGTGAGGCCAGGCCGCAGAGAGCTGGCCGTGGCCACCAACTCCCGAGAGGAACACTTCCGTCTGCAGAAGTCTACCGAGTCCACTAACTGATGCAGTCATCACTTACTCCTCCATTCTCCATCCTGCATTTCTCGTATATGAAGCCTCAAGCTGGAAGCCAGAGGCCTGGCGCCAGACCTATGCTCCTAGGCTGTTGTCCCCGCAGGTGTGCTACCATGCCAATTTCTTATCACGTAGCTCATTTGGCTACCGGTCTTTGTCTATCACTCGGCCAAACCCGCCTCGGATGAAAAAACACACACACTGCCGGGCCGAAGGAAGCCAGCAACCCAGCATTCACAACTCGGGAGAGGCCAACACCAGCGAAAGCATGCTGAGAGGAGATGCTTGAGCTCTTTCCGCTCCCTTCCGTGGAATCTCCATGCTGTGTCACGGTCACACTGACCTCGACGACGAAATCCATGTCGGCGAACTAGCAGTTCGTCCTTCGTCCTTCGTCCTATCACAAACGCATCGTGTGCAGCCCAGCGTGGGAAAGCCTGCCGTCCAGACTGGTCTCTGGCCAACGCCCCCGGCCCCCCCGCGGTGCTGAACAATCCGAGCCAGTTTGTGATCAATTGGATTTGCAAGCAGTCTAAGCCCACCACGCGATTACACCTATGGATGGTGTGCAGCATGTGCAGGTTTGCAATCTCGACTTTCTTCTCCGGGTTGGGGGTTAAGCATGGCCGTGGCCATGGCAATCATCTAGCACGCGAGATACCCCGCCGTGGCACGGTCTTCTGAGCCCGGGGCATCTAATAAGAGGCACGGAGTACGAGTACGAGCGTCGAGTACACACTGACGCAGCAGCAGGGCTAAGGAGGCACTATGCGGGTGCCCTGATTGTCATGCCACGCCCGCCGAGGCTAGCCGCGCTCTACGCCCGGGTTTATTGTTTTCGCCCCTCCACCGCTGACGGCATTGCATCTCCAGTCCTCCACGAAGTTTATCGAAAATTCCATGTTCCCACCAATTGCCCCGAACTCCCTCCAGAGATAACCACTGTGATGTCGACCACCGGTTTCCTCCGCGATCAGCCCGGATGCAATTCGCTGGCGATGTTTCCGACGTTTCGAAACAGGCCGTGACAAACATCTCGACCAACTACGCGTACTACTGATGCCATCTAGCCAGTCTGGTCGGAACTCTGACGGAAATCTACGTACGGTTACTGGTATAAGACCAAGCACGATCCCCTCGGTCGGGGTCGGGCTGACTTCTGATGCTTCGCCAATCTTCTCTCCCACTGCCAATTTTCCAATCTCCCACACCTATCGCCCTCTCCTGTCACAAGGTTACTCAAAAAACAAAAGCCTCAGAAAATAGTCCAAAGTCCGACCAAGAAGCACGACTCCGGACCCCGTGATCTCCACAGCCGAACCGCCCGTTGCTCAAATCACATCATCAGCTGGCCCCTGCGTCACTTTCGAGGACAAAGCTCAGAACATACATAAAGGACTGACCTGTCCGAGTGTTCTTTGTCGACCAACTGTTATTATCATATTCCAAGTTTTCGACTCCCAACTCCCGCCATCCCCAACATATTTTCGCATCCAAACCCACCACCAGTCTTTCGAACCATCAAGCCACCATGTCTAGCCCAACCAACACGAACAACTTCCTCTCTCTCATTCCCACTGCCCACCGTGTGGCCGTCATCACCCAGTCCGACAGCACTCTGGCCGGCGAAGAGTCTATCATCCCTACAACCCAAAAGACCCGCCGCTCCAGTTCGACTGCGACCAGCGACTCCAACACCGACGTCGAGGAAGCGTCTGCACCTGTCAACCCCCCCAGTTCTGTCGTTGAGTCGCCCACCAAGGTTATCAGCATCCACACGTTTCTGTCAAACTAGGCAATGAAAGCTTGCTACCGCAACCGCAATCGCAATCAGCCCAATTTTCTATGTTATCATCAGTAAAATCTATGGTGCCGGCAATGTTTGCATAGGCTTTCGAAGCCATTCTACGAATTCCCTTGCTGAGCTCGCCTCGGCCGCCGACTTTCGGCTCTCATCGATACGATGAGCCTCCTTCATTGACGTATTGAGCCATGTCCTTCACCATGGAGTTCAGCGGCCTCACCACACCGAGGTATTGCGCTTTGGGTTTGAGTTTGGGTTTGGTCATGGTCTTAGGGTTTCTTTTGTCAACTTATGACGGACAGGACCGTATGTATCGGAGCAACAGCATGTCATCTAAGGATTTAGGTTAGGAACAGGATAAGCAGGTCAGACTCCCTTGGTGGTGAGCGACCTAGCACACGGACCCGCACAATACGAATACACATTCGATCTATTCGACGGCAGCATCCAGTATGTCCAGTATCTCCATGTCACCTGTTTGAACGATCTTCAGTATCTTCATGTCCTTGATCGAACGATCTCCAGTATCTTCATGTCCTTGATCGAAGAATCTCCAGTATTCCCAAGTCACCATGATCGAACCATCTCCAGTATCTCCATGTCAGCATGATCGAACAATCTCAGTATCTTCATGTCACCTTGATCGATCGATCTTCAGTATCTTCATGTCGCCTTATCGAACGATGCGAAGGAATCGACACAACCAGTCAATTCAGGGCATGGATGGGTGGGATGGGATCCGACGCCATGGACTAATCAGGGCTGATGTTGGTGATGGTCTTTCACTATTCGCTTTACCCTTCTCTCTTGAGCCGGGCGGTAGTTGGTCTGTGATGAACAAATGAATGAAAGGTTGAATGGATCAATGAGAAGAATCGGGCACACCCACCCAACTGGCCACGCATACGCAGGGAGGAAAGGTCAGGATCAGGATCAGGAATAGGAATGCAGACAGGACAAAGATGAAGGACAATTATCGGCTTAGGCTTACCTGTCCGTAGGTACGGTACCTACAGGTGCAAGGTGCATTAATAGTATCTTGTGTACGTGTACATGTACATGTATGTATGTACGTGGGAAATGCCTTCCGTTTAGTTTATACTCCTCCTCTGCTCTTATTCCTGCTCTTATTCCTGCTCTTATTCCTGCTCTTATTCCTGCTCTTATTCCTGCTCTTATTC